ATTGATTGTCGGTCTCCCCGGACGCATCATTTCCTTGGCTCTGGTAGACATGTGTCTGGGCCAGGCCCTACCCAGCAAATTGCCAGCACAGAAGCACTTAACATTTTACACTCTAGGTTAACCTTGAACATGCCAGCTCTCCAGAAAAGTAGCCAGCCTGAGGATGCTACTGGACAGTGGTGGATGCCAGTCCCTAGGCAGTATATGCTGGATCTCATAGGTCTGAGGTGACATCACTCTTCAAAAGTTTGCCCATGTCCTTCCTTAGCTCCATGTTTTCTGGAACTTGAACCAGTGGACACAAGAGATACATGCTTTAAGCAGAGTGTCAACAAGGTCAGGGGAGGGTGCAGAGAAGTATGAAAAGACCTTTTCTTTTCTTTTTTCTTTTTTTCTTTTTTCCTCCTCTCTGTAATCTCCAAAATAAGTTGGAGGATCCAAATGAAAGGCTCAGACTGGGTGGAGCAAAGACTTCATAAGTCATAACCCAAATTAGAAAAAGCCCAGAGGGCTAGGTGGTGGTGGTGGTGCACGCCTTCAATCCCAGCACCCGAGAGACAAAGGCAGGCAGATCTCTGAGTTCAAGGCCAGCCTGGTTTACAGAGTGAGTTCTAGGACAGCCAGGGCTACACAGAGAAACCCTGTCTCTTAAAAAAAAGAAAGAAAAAGAAAGAAAGAAAGAAAGAAAGAAAGAAAGAAAGAAAGAAAGAAAGAAAGAAAGAAAGAAAGAAAGAGGGGGGAAGGAAGGAAGAAAGGAAGAAAGGAAGAAAGAAAGAAAAAGAAAAAGCCCAGAGGAAGAGACCTATCCCCTGTGTCCCAGCTCTCTACTCCTGGGTGATGTGGGGGACCCTTGTGCTAGCCAAGAGGAGAGGTGGGTGCTGGGGGCAGGCCTTGGCTAACATTTAATCCCCTGTTGTTTCTCCGAGTCTTTCCTTTCCCCCACTTAGAGGAGACTGAGAGCCAGGAACATGCCTGCAACCCAGCTCTCAGGAGACTTGAGTCTGAAGCCGGGAAGCGCAGCACAGTCAGACCTTGTCTCAAAAATCAAATCTAAACAGAACAATCAGAATGCTTTGCGCAGGATGCCCATCTTGGTGAGCTCCCACCCAATCCATTTTGGGGAGTCAGAGGAGGTGTAAATGGCTTTGTGACAAAGGCCTGGATCCAGAGCATTCTGTGGAGAGGGTGTCACTTAGCATTCTTGAACTGTCAGCCCCACGGCAAGAGTCACATGTGACTGGGATCAGAGATGCCAGAAGAGCAGAGACCACTCTGTGAAACACCAGGTGGATCAAAGCCTCCTGCTTTGAAAAGGCACTGCTCTGAAGCAGGAGTCAGCCTCAACACACATCCAAGATGGTCATGAGAGCTCTGAGGACGTGTAAGGGAACTAGCCTGGTGCTGAAGCGGGCCATCCCTGCTCAGCTTCCTCTAAAAGCTCAGGATGGTCCCCTTCAAGTCAGCTTCTCCCATCTGAGAGATCTGGCCCTCACACCCAGCATCTGATAGAAAAAAACGACTACTTATTACCAAAAACCAGGGCGGGGCAACCCGGTCAGCAGCATCCCTCCCTGGTCCCTGCATCAGCTCCTGCCTCCAGGTTCCTGCCCTGTCTGAGTTCCTGTCCTGACTGCCATTAAGGATGATTTGGAAGTGATGTGGAAGCATAAGCCAAATAAACCCTTTCCTCTCCAAGTTGCTTTGGCCATGGTGTTTCATCACAGGAATAGAAACCCTAACTAGGACACAGGCCCTTACACGGTTACATCTATACCCTAAGGTCGAGCAGGAATAGACTTAAAGAGCAATGTGAAATCCCTGGCCCTCATGTGACATAGCATGGTCAGGGAATATGACTCAGTTCTCTTGGAATCTGGATTCCAGGATTGCTCTAACACAGCAGTAGGGGCCTTTCTCTCCTTTGCAAACACCGGGTAATGGACTGGCATGTGGTTCAGTGGTAGAACACTTTCTTAGCATGTACAAGGCCCCACAACAAATAAAGAAATCCTGTAAGGGTAGCCCTGTCCAGAGCAGGCCCTATGAAGCCCCGGGGCTGGAGCCCAGCGTTCTCCTGGCTTTGATGGGACAGGACTTGGGCCCACTTTTTCTGGCCTTTCCAGGGAAGCTCTGTCTGAGCTTTGCACCTTCCAGATGGAAGAGGCTCTCCTCATCTCTACAGTCTTTGTATTCATCTTGTGCCCACCCCTTCTACCAGGGGCACTCCTGCCCCTTCTGGCACAGTCCGCACCCAGCAGCTGGGTTCCAAATCTGCATAGAATTGTCAGGAGCTGAGAGGTGCCGCCCAGTGACAGAAGGGAGACCCACCCGCCCCACGGTACTGTTAGGTGGTCCTTCTGAGGGGACATCTGTCTCCTCTGCAACCTGCCCACTCCTCAGCTCCCTTCTGCCGCCATCCTTTCCTCATGGGCTTTATTTGAGCAGTCTGGCTGCCCTGTTAGAAAACCACTCATTAGGTAAACCGAAGCTGGGCAGAGGATGGGACCTGCCCACGATGAATTAGATATATGTGTATCGCGGAGGAAATTGCTCGAACTTTTCAAAGGCATGAAGAACTAGTTTCTCAGAGCCCATGCGTACATTTGTATCTGTCAGTCAGCCTAGGAGGACGGCATAGATTTGACAAATAGTGTGGCAGTTAAGAAAGTGAATATGACCCCAAACTGCCCAGGTTTAGTTCCCTTTGTGGCCTCTTGTTAGGTGCACAGACTTAGCTAAGGTCCCTCTCTGTGTCGTGGTTGCGAAATGAAGATAATGATATCTTTTTTTGATTGCTAAGAAGACTAAATAGATGAATACATAAGCAAAACTACTGAGACAAGACCCGCTACATGGTTAGTGTTCTGTATGTCATAAGTGCTGTTCAAGATACCCAGCTCCTTCCTCTGAGTACAGTGTCTTTTGATAGTATTTTATGGCAAAAGAAACATATTTATGTAGGCTGCATCTTACCTCACTAGACACGAGTCAGGTGACTGGGAGACAGGGTAAGCACCCGTGGGTGGGTTAGGAACTTCCTCATCCTGGAGGCTACAGTGTGAAATCCAGCCTGGCACATTTGGAGACAGAGGTTTTTTGTTTTTTTTTTGAGACAGAATCCCAATGTAGCCCTGGCTGTTCCGAAATTCACTCTAGGCTGCGCTTGAACTGACACGAAGAGTCACCTGCCTCTGCCTACCGAGTGCTGGGATTAAAGGCCTGAGCCACCATGCCTGATAAGACAGAGGTGGTTTTTCCTCTCACCTGTCCCTAGCTTAGATGGATAGCCAAGGTGGCCGAGCTGGTGACCCTGAGCAGGTAGCATCTATACTTCCTGGCTCTTAGTAACCCCCAGTTAGCAAGCAGCTTCCACCTCTGGTGGACGGTAGAGTCCTGAGCCCTGGAGGGGTAGCTGTGAACAAGGTGGGCACAGCTCCAGCTTTCGGGGAACTTAGCCTCTGGCTGGGGTAAAATGCAGATACAGCAAGGCTACGATCCCTTCTGGAACGGGAAAGATAGTTGTCGACACTTGGGAGCCAGGCTCTAAACAGTTTGGCAGGTGTCCAGGGGAATGACAGCGAAACAGGGGTCTGAAGGATGGTTCGAGGCCAGTGGGGTAGAGAGCTCAGGAAGATTCTAGCGAGAGGCACACTGGAGCTCATGGGCAAGTATGGCCCCTTTTGGGTGAGCAGGAGCCTCCCCCACGAGAGGGTGGTGTCTGGTAGATCCAAGCCACACTTGGAAGATGATACAAACAGGATCCGGTGCAGAGACAGGGCGAGTGTGGAACGGCTGGGCGGAAAAAGGATTTGCCTGGAGCAAAGACCCAGTTTTTACTAGGGCAAGAAGAAAGGAGGGGGTAGGTAGATCAGTGCAGCTAGAAGAACTGAGGGCAGGACCTGTGGCGTCTGCTTATCAGTGAGGTGGACAAGGCAAGCTCTTGGTGCTGAGGTTTGAGGAAAGGGGGTGGGGGGGGGGGGAGTTGAAACTGCTTCACTGACCAGGCAGTAGGAGGAAAGGGGGGAGTTGAAACTGCTGGACTGACAGGACATCAGGAAGCTTTGGGGCCTAGCTGGGGCTGGGGCCCGGATGCACAGGTCACCAAGTGTCACCTCTGCCCCGTGCTATGTGCATCATGGGGCAGGCCCCAGAAACTCAGAAGCCCACTGGGGATGGCGGGGGTGGGGTGGTGGTGGTGGTGGTGGTGGTGGTGGTGGTGGTGGTGGTGGGAAGCAGTTCACCAGGAGGCTGCACAGCAGGCCAGCCTTGTTACCACAGCAACAGCCATGGAGAGCAGGCACTTGGCCCACCCTTGAGGAAGGCATGGGCAGAAGGAAGGAGTGCCCTGTGAAGGGGAAAAGACACCGTAGGGCAGTTCCCTCTTTGCCTTGCTTTAGCTATCCACTACAGGTATGTCTTGTTATCTTGCCTCACTTCCATTTTCTCATCTCGACTGTGACTATGGTGAGAACTGAGTGGCTTTTGTGGGAAAGTGCCTTCCAAATTCAGGGGACGCCCTCGGCAGGAGATGGCGCTTGGAAAGGGTGCCCAGGAGGCATTTGGTTGGTAGACAGCAGCTGTTGAGTTATTGTTGGGTGGTATGGAAGAGGAGCCATGGAAACACAAATCTGTGATAACCACAGCCATAAACCACTGCCTCTGAGACTGGCCTTGGCATTGGCAATGGACTCTGGCCAAAGTCACAGGGCCACAGCTTCAGAAAAGGCTGGCCGTGGTGTAAACCAGGGTGTGGCACTGCTTCTGATACCATCAGAGGGAAAGTGGGGGTGGCTTGGGACTCTTCCGCAAGGCCCAGGCTTCCTGAGGAAGAGGGTAGAGGGAGTCCAGAATGTCCTGAACAAATAATAATAATAATAATAATAATAATAATAATAATAATAATAATAATCAAAGACGAGCAGAAGGCCGGTGCCGGTGTCAGGCCTGGAGACTTTAATGTTCAGCTGGTTGGAGTGGCTTTGTGACAGACGGACTCTGGCTCCCATGACATCAGAAGCTCTGCCAAATCCTGCTTCTGGCTGGTGAGGAGAAGGGCCTGACCTGCCCATCTATGGCCTCCTGCCTGGTTGAGGTGGTTCCTGACCACTGCTGCTCAGTCCACACAGCTGGCTTACTGAGGGAGGGGAGGCTGCTGGGCTGGGCTAGCCCTTCTCCATTCCAGCGTCCCCTGGCCCTTGGTCATGGCAGTTCTAAGCTGTGGCATTCTGGGTAGGCCTCACACCTGGGAGAAACAAGTGTATTCTGAGAATCCCGGTGCTGGTTTGGACTTGCCCAGGGAGGACCCGAGGCTCAAGCCTCCCAGGGCATGGCCCTGCCCTCTGGGGATTCTCGCTTCAGTAGCTCGGTTGCTGCCACCTCTACTTCCTCTGGCTCCATCTGGCAGGCATCCGCCAGGGCCTGGCCTGTTGCCATGACGAAGTTAGCATCTGCTGCTAAGGAGTCTAGTCCTCCTTGAACCAGAGCCTGCAGGGAGGAAAAGGAGACTGGGTGGGTCTTCCAAGAGAATTGCCTTCTGGGGCCCTCCACGGTTGCGCCTACCCTCTCCCCATGACAGACTGCCACCAGGTCACCCCTCGTTTGTGGCCTGCTGCTCTGTCCCAGCCCCACCTCACCTCCTGGATCAGGAAGGCAGTAGCTGGAGCTGTGCACCTGCGAGCTGAGTTCCTGGGAACGCTCTCCTCCAAGTTCCTGCTGTGGGGTGTTTCCAGGGACCTTGGCACGGAGCCCTTACTCTCCTCCGGCACAGGAGGCTCTGCCTGGAGGAGCTGTTCCAAACACACAGAAGCAAAAATTCCCCCCCAAACAGATACACTAGAGTCAACTGACATACCGGAGCCCACAGCTCATCCAAGGGAGTCTCAACCAAGACCTACAGCCTGGGGAGGATGCAGGAACACAGGATCCTTCTGTGATGGAGGGACTGCTAACTACAAGGCCCTTCCTTTGCCAGAACCCCACTCCTAACGTCAGGCCAGGTGGCGTCTATTGGCACATCCTCCCAGGCCTTTGCCTTTGGTACCTGGCATGGGGAAGGAGGCACCTGGCCTCCAGGCATCCCTCTCTGGGTCACCAGTCCTTTCAATTTGTCCTCATGGAACTTGCTGTGAGGTCCTGTGGGCAAGGCAAGGCAAGGTCAGTGGGGCTGCTGACTCCTGGTGGGCTGAGTCATCAGGGCCTTTCTTGGCCAGCTTCGGAAGGTAGTCTAGAGGAGAGACACATGTTGAAGCCTAACCAGCTCCAGGTCAGGCAGAAGAGGCCCAGCTCTCCTTGCCCAGTGCTTTGTCCGAGGGCCAGACTCACCAGCAAGCTCTTCTTCAGTGTGGCTATGTGCATGCATGTTACAGTGTGTGGGAGAGCAGGGAAGTACCCCGATTGCTACTGTGCTCCAGCATTCTGGAGCCTCCCTCAGACTGGTAATAACGCTCTCCCTCCCAGGGCTCAGCTAGTGCCCATCCCATCATAAAGGTGCTAAGTGGCTCTCCCAGGCTCTAAGGAAAGAGGGCACCTTACCACCACCCCCAGGAGAAGGCCCAGCTTCTTAGTCACAGAAGGGACTGACCAGAGCCTCTGCAGGGCTGACTGAAGGGTCCTTCTCTGGGAGCAGGTACGTCTGCCTCTTCCAGGAATTCCCTTTCGTAGCGGATGCTGGAATAGAAGCAGAGCAGGCTGGAACCCTTTCACTGAGGTACCAGTGAGCATCCTGGCAGACTGCAAGTGGCCTTCACTCCAGGGCTGATTCTGCCAGCGCTTGACTCTATCTGTCCTTGACTCTGGGGGAGCAAGCCAAACTCATGGCTGCCTCCACTCTTGCTCAGTGCTCCCCTACCCTTCTCACATTCTGTATCACCTTAGCACTCTTAAGATGCTAATTCTTATGACGGCGAAGCGCCTCTGCTCGCACCTGGTTGTATTTTAATCACAGCCTGGGATTAGTGAGATGGAACTGCCCAAATCCAGCAACTGACCTTATCATCCAGAATTTCCTACCGTCTGTGCTGCTGCTGGAGGCCCTTTATTAAACATTACTGTGTGACCAATACATTTCAGCGCCTCCCTACTGAGAACCACAGAAAGGCTGGCTCGGGTTTGCGGTCAACGCTGACAAGAGGCTGCCCCCTGCTGGCCAAAGACGCCTCTTCAGTCCAGGTTTGCCTCTTGTGTTAGGGGTGCAGAGTGGTCCCCAAGGGCACACAGAAAACAAAGGACATTCTACACACTTCATGGTGCCTCCTTTCCACTCAAGCCTATCTCAGCATGCGTATACCCACAGCTGGAAGTTACCACTGTTACCTGGAAAACACTGGACTGTTTCCATGGTTGCTGTTGCCACAGGCAACATTGGCATTGGCATTGTTGGTATTGGCGCGAGCCAGAGGATGGGTGCCTGGGTTATGAGGGAAGTCCTCCAAGAAGACGGGTGACTCCAATTCTTCCATCTCTATCTCAGCAAACTGGAGGGGTCTCTGGTTGGCCATGACAGGGGGCAGGGAGTTGGTCCTTTCCAGGAAGTTGTCCACTTGACCAAACAAGCCTCCGGTTCTCTAGAGGCAAGGGGGAGAGTGGGAATACTGAAAGCAATGACTGGGTATGAGGATACAGAGAGCATGGGGTTGGGGGTCGGCTGTCACCCTGGGGTGATGGTGCTAGGAGAGAGCAATGGCATTGGAAGATGAATCTGTAAGGCCAGAAGAAAATGGACTGAAAGGTGATACTGGAACATGGTCGCCACCCTCAGCAAAGTCTAAATTTGATGGACAGACAGGATACGCCTAAGGAACCATACAGGTAGCACACCCATGAACACAAGGCACACTGAATTGGGAGTCTGCAGAACTGTGTTCCAGCTTCCCTCTAATCAGGTGATACGGGACATTGCATGTCATCTCTTTGGGACACCATTTTGTGAAAACGTAATAGAGTTTAATGGGGTGTCCAAGAAGAATCTTCAAGATCCAATGGGTTGCAGCTCTCCACAGAAGAATCAGGAGCTAGCCTGAGGAGAAACAGATCCTCAGGAGATGGAATTAGATAAGAATTTGTCAATAACGTAGGAAAGGGTGTATCATATTTAATACTTTTGGGTCATAGATTCTGAGCCCCAAAAGATGTGGGTGGCAAGGTGTAGGTGGTACCCTCATCTCCTGTGCAGCCTGGCTTCTAGTCCTTCTCTTTATTGCTCCTTACTCTGTCTGGTCCCTCAGAAGAGAGTCATGGCCCTCACTCACCCGGAATATCCCCTCCTCCATGGCAGCCTCCACCATGGCTCTCTCCAGTTCCTCCTCTGCTGTCAGGTCTCCTGAGATGGCGCGGTGGATCTCAGGAGCTGCCTCTTCCTCTATGGTCCGCAATCCAGCCTAGGGATGGTGAAGGGACAGATGACCCGCAGTTCAGGAGCGGAGACCAGAAATGCCTTCCCTGGCCCTGCCTGTTCTGAATCCCTACAACCATAGCCCTTCTGAAACCTGTTCTCCATCCTGGATCAATATCACAGGACTATGAGGCCCCTGTGGTCCTGCTGTGGCCTGGGTGAGACAGTCTGCATTCTGAAAAGTCTCTAAGGGATAGAGACTTTGTACCCCTCTCATCCAAGCCTCTCTTTATTGGCATGTGTTTTTTTTTTTTTTTTGGTCAATGAATCTTCATATCATGGGAGGAGGTGGGATCTGTGGGTGGTATGTAGAGTGAGTAGAAAATTCCTTAATGGGGTTGGAGATTTAGCTCAGTGGTAGAACGCTTGCCTAGCAAGCGCGAGGCCCTGGGTTCGGTCCTCAGCTCCAGAAAAAAAAATTTAATAAAGAAAAGTGGAAAAAAAAGAAACTTCATATCACAACTAATAGAACACATCAAAATGAGTGTCACCTGATAATTTCAAAGAGGACACAGTATCATGTCTGGGACATTCTTACCCAAAACACACATTTTCTATCTAATGTGAGGGAACATCAGACCAACCCAACCAGAGGGACAACATGGCCTGTGTCCCCAAAAGGGTCAAAGGCCACATTAAGGAAAGACTGCCGAGTGGTTCCAGAAAGCAAGATGCCAAGGCAAGATGGCGTGCATGCAAGGTGTATGGATCCTGAGTTGGATACTTTTCCTGTGAAGGACATCATTAGGGCAGCAGGTAAAACTTGAAGGAGGTGAGGGGTGGAGTACAGTTATGCATCAACACTCACTTCCCAGGTTCAGTGGTTGCATTGTGGCTATGTGGGAGAATTACGTAGGGCAATGCCACGCTTTCTGGAAATTCACACTAAGGTATTCTGAGCTGATGGAGTGTCGTGTGAGAGTTATTCTCAAACGGCTCATAGAAAACATTGCAATGGTGTAAAGTATAAAGTTATTTCAAAACCACCAGGGCAATTCAAATATGTTACTGAATATATAGCCCAGATGTGTGTGCATTTTGTTTTTAAAGATTTATTTATTTTAACTTTATGCATTTGGGTGTTTTGCCTGCGTATTATGTCTGCGCACATGTGTGTGTAGTGCCCAAAGAGGCCAGAAGGGGGCATCAGATCTTCTGGAACTGGAGTTACAGATGGTTGTGAGCCACGCAGGTGCAGGGAACTGAACTCAGGTCCACCTTTGGAGCAGCACGTTCTGCTAACCACTGAGCCATCTCTCCAGTCCTACATGCCTACTTTTGAATTTTTGAACCATGGGCATTACAATGAACACAGAAAAAGCAGTCAAAAGCCCAATGCGATAAAACAAACAGTTCAAAAGATTTCTTCTCAGACTCAGTGGAGCAGACCCCTGGGTGGGGCAGGGTCTGCCCTCTTTGGAAACCACTGCTCTGACTAGAGGTCTCTCTTTTGAAGAAATCGGATTTTCTTTGGTCTAGTCACTGAGAGACGAGGAGCTCCCAGATCTATTTTTGAGGCCAAAACACCCTTCATCATGGTCAGAACTGAACTATCTTCTCTTATATTTTTGGTTGTGAGCCTAGCCTTTTTTGTTTGTTTGTTTTGTTTTTCAAGACAGGGTTTCTCTGTGTAGCTTTGCGCCTTTCCTGGAGCTCACTTGGTAGCCCAGGCTGGCCTCGAACTCACAGAGATCCGCCTGGCTCTGCCTTCCGAGTGCTGGGATTAAAGGCGTGCACCACCACCGCCCGGCTTACCTGTATTTGAACCGTGTCCTTTTTGGGTCGATACCCATAATACTCCTCCTGGCGCTTCATGAACTTGCGGAAGTGTTCCTGGATGAGGAATGTGGCGTAGAACTTCCCCACCGTCACCTCGTCATCTGTAGACGGCCAAAAGGGAGGTAGTGAAGGCCCATGGGAGTCTCACTGGATTCGGAAGGGAAAGTTGGGGGGCAGCAGGCTCAGGCGCTCGGCCCATCCTGCTGAGGTGGTGAATGGGCACCTTTCGCCCTGAATGGATGCCCTGTTGGAGACTCACAGTATTCACAGTCTCTAGATGCCAGATTCCTCAGGGACTTCTTGAGGAAGCCTCTCAACCTTCCTGTGTCTGCCCTAGACTCTGGTCTCCCCAGGCAGCACTCACCTCCTATGGGAGGGATGACTTGGTCCAGGAGCTTCATGCTGGTTCTTTTCCAGATCTTTTTGATGATGGCTCTCAGCTCCTCATTAGCTTGTTCGAAGTTGCCTGGGGCAGGCATGAGAAAGGTAGGCGCGGCCCTGAAGTGACCGAACTTGACCAAGTTTCAGCAGCGGCCCTTAGTTCCACACACTCTGGCTCAGTGTTCTTTTGGGGTAGCTGCTGTGCTCTGTCCTGACATTGGGATGAGGACAGGGGCAGCCTGACCCCTGGGTGCTGTATTTACTCTCCATAGGTCTTGGCTCACAATGATCAGACTGGTTAATTTGGTAGGCCATCATCTCCCTTTCTCTCTGTCAAAACGTCAAGTCTCTACATTCTCCAGTCTGTCCCAGGGTCCCCAAGCAGTCCTCCTGCTACCCTAACTTGATCCTCCCTGGATCCTGGCTTCCCTCTTCTTGTCTGCCCATGGCTGCCTCGGACTTCATTGGCCCAGATAGGGGGATGGCCCCAAAGGCCCTGGAACCCTGCCTCAACCCTGCTTTTAATCCTGCTCCTCCTGTGTCTGTATTCCTGGTTTAGGGGCCTAGAGGTTTAGTGGAGTCAAGCGTGGGCTCTCATACCTGCCCAGGACTGAGTTCTACCTCTGTCACACCTGGAACCACTCAGGGCGACCCCAGCCCTGAGTGATCACCGTCATGCCTCTGGGCCTGACAGAGCTGAGGAACCTGAGACGGAGCCTTAGTGAGCTTGCCAGGCAGAGCAGCCTCAGACTCCCTGCAAGACCTGAAGGGCATGAGCAGTTGGTGACCGTGGCCTGGCTTCCCTCTGGCCACATTTCTGGGAATCTGTGTCAGAACCCACCCTCGAAGAGAAAGGGGCATCCGTGAGCAGGCTCTCACCTTCTGTCTTGATCTTGAGGGCTGTGCGTACCAGGGCAAAGAGTGTGGCATTGAAGGTGACTGTGCCGTCGCTGTTCAGGGGCATGTTCATGCCCACCAGCCTCTGTGCATGGAGAGGGAGGACTCACTGATGTACTGGGACCAGGCTTAGCCCATCAGGTCATCCTCCCCCAGGTGGGATGGGAAGGGATGTTATAAGGGCTGTGGTGTGGGCTGACTAGGGTGCATCCATGAGACCTGAGGTCAGCAGCGAGGGACTTGGAAACTGCCGTAGAACCTGGAATGTCTACCATGGCCCGTGTGTTAAAAGTTTGCACCCTAGGGTGGTGCTGCTGGGAGATGGTATAAACTGTAAAGGGTGGGCCAGGGGGGCAGCTCTGGGTCACCGAGGAGCAGGGTTTCTTTTCTCTTTGGGTCTTGGCCATGAGATGAGTGGGTTTGCTCCACCATGGCTCCTACCATGGCATGCTGCGCCAACCCCTCCAACCAGAGGCCTAAATGCAGTGAGTTTGTCTGATCTATGGATTGGAATCCCCAAACTGGGAACTAAAACGACCCCTTTCTCTCTCTAAGTTATTTGTCCCAACTATTTGTTACGGCGGTGGTCATCTGACTGACATAGTGACCCAGGAAATCACTGCTGTAAGATGCCTCCTTCTAGAAGGCTCTCTCTGGCCACCTAGCGCCACAGCACCTGTTGATTTTGATCCCCTGAGCCACAGTTGCTTAGCCTCGCAGATTACCTTACATGCCACCCTGTGTGGGCAGAACTTCCCGAAGCCCAGAGGGGGCTGGATCCTCCTCAGCAGGGTCACCACATCCAGGTGCTTGATTCTGCCCCTGTGGGAGGACACACAGGCTAGTAGATCCAGGAATGTCACCCAGAGCACCCCTGCTCTCTACTCAGAGAGTGGAAAAGGAGGGAAGGAAGCCGGGGGCCAGGAACATTTCCTGGTTTTAAAGCTCGTTTAAAAGGCCTAGGAGCCTAGTGTATTATTTTAAATACATTTTAGTAGTTCTTTGTAAATTTCATACAATGTGTTTTGATCACATTCACTCCTGCCTCTGCCTCCCTCACCTCTTCTCAGATGCCCCCACCCCCAAAGCCTTTCAAAAGAAGAGGAGGTTTGGGTTCAGGGGTGCCCACTGCAGAATGGGGCTCTCCATTTTGGGCAGATACATGCTTTCTTTCAGGGAGCTGTCCTCTAGTGCAGGGGATCTGGATTTCATTTCCTTCGTGCTAGGCCATCCTTAGGTGTTGGTCAAGCTGAAAGGGTGGGGGGGCTCTGGGGTTGTACTAATAAATCAAGGGAGTGGCAGCCCACTTCAGAGACCCCTCCAGAGCTGGGAACACAACTTCAGTGTGACCATGACCTCCAGAATAAGCCCCAAACAGAGCAACCAGGAAAGTCAGGTGAGTACATTCCCAAGGCCCTGGCAGTAATGGAGTGCTGCCCTAGGAGCATTCATTTGGGATGTTTTATGGACTGCCTTGTCCTCAGAGCTGGCTGGGAAAGCAATGAGACTTCTGTCTTGTTGGGAGCACAGAGGTCCTTGCACTCCCAGATAAGCACTCAGAAAACCAGGGATGTTAAGCATACAGGGTTGTCTTTTCAAAGAAAAAGATGTATAAGCCGTTTTCTGCCCAGAAGGCTGGGAATGGAGGTGGCTGATGGCCTAGGTGACCCTCATAGTGTCTGTAGGACCAGGCCGGACCTGGCTCCTCCAAACTCACACAACCAGGACTGAAGGTGACTAATAGTCTAGATGACCTTTGCACTATCTGTATGGCCAGGGGGCTCCCCCAAACTCCCACAAGCAGGACCAGAGGTAGGCAATACCCCAGGTGGTCTCTGCACTATCTGTATGACCTGCCCAGATCGCCCCCTAGACCTTTAAGATAGCACATGCAGCCTGTCTATAGAACCTATCTTTGTGGAAGAAGTGATGTGAACTTCGAGAAGAGTTTCGATGTAATTATGCTTTACCGTGCACACAGGATTATGTTGTACTAGGAAACTTTTTTTTTTCCAAATTGTACTGTATTTAAATATGGCTAAAATAAACTGCCTGGTGTCAGACTCTAAAGTTAGAACCAACACCAGCTACTGAGTCGTGTTGAACTGGATTTCCATCTTGCCTCACACGGATCGATACTCTGCTGGCCAAGGCATTTGCAGAGACCCCCACATTGTCTGTATTCTCGTTGCTGAGTATACATACATACATACATACACACACACACACACACACACACACACACACACACACACACAAACACACACACACACACACACACACACACACACACACACACACACACACACACACACACAGGCCCATATGCATACTTGGGATTGAGCCCAGGGTCTCTCACATAACCAGCAAGCATCTATCACTGAGCTACATCCCAGCTCCCAGGCCCAAGTTAGTACTGTGGGGTAGTGATAGAAACAAGTAAATTAAAAAAAAATTGTGTGTGTGTGTGTGTGTGTGTGTGTGTGTGTGTGTGACTGTCAGGAGAGGGTGACTGACCTCTTGGAGCTAGAGTTACAGACGGTTGTGGGTCATCTGACATGGGTGCTGGGAACCAAACTTGGGTCCTCTGGAAGAGCAGCCAGTGCTCCTAACCACTGAGCCATCTCTCCAGCTCCCCCTCCCCCCAGTAGTCTTTAATGTTCCTGTTGGAAGTGTTTTAAAGGACAGTTGCCAGGGACTCTGGACAGACTCACCTTGAATTTTGGTGCCACCACTTACTGTGTGACACAGGACAATTTAATTTCTCTGCACCTCAATGTGCTCATTTGTGAGACTACGGTGAGCAGAGGACATGTGCCTTAGGTTGTCGGAAGAACTGGATGAGCCAATACATGTGGTATTTGAACCTGATAACTGGGACACGTTTAGCAAACGTGATCTTACTTCTTCTTCTATCAAGAGAGTAAGAGAGAAGTGCCCCCCCCCCCCAGGCTTTAAGGTGCAGGCAGATGGCCTGAGGAGCAGGCTAAGGGTAATGAGGACTCTAACTCAGACAGTCTGAGTGGGGCCTGGGACTCTGCATTGTAATCGATCTCCAATACAGGCAGTGAGCAGAGCCAGAGTGAGCAGCCAGGCCTGGAGTGCCTGGTGACGTACTGAGAGCCTACTTCTCACTCCCGAGTACTAAGTGGACAACTAGAAGCTTGGTGAGCATTTCCTCAGAAAGTCAGGGGGTTTCTCCTCAGAGGGAATCCCTTCCAACTCTGAGACACGCCGACTCCCCATGGAACCTTGAGTGGACTAAGGGAGAACAGATAGTTTCTCAAGGAAATGCTAGGATGAAAGGGTGGGCAGTTTGGTAAGCACCCAGCACTGCCCACAAAGACTCACTTAGCTTCTGGGTCATACTCGGCCCAGATGGCCTTGAACTCATCCAGGTGGTGAGGGCCCAGAATGGACCAGTCCCTTGTGAGGTAGTCAAAATTGTCCATGATGACAGCCACGAAGAGGTTAATGATCTGCAAAAAGACACAGTCTCCCACAGCATAGGCAGGTGAGGCAGTGACTGGGGTCGGGGTGGGGGTGGGGGGACAGGGGCAGACTAGGCATGGGCTCCTTCCTCATGCCAGCCCTCTGGCACACTCCACATTCCACACTCAAGTGAGGCTGAACTTCTTGCCCGGCATGAGCTCTGCCCAGGTGCTTGTGACCATTCACTAAAACCAAGGTAGGGCACTTCTTGGGGAGCCATTCTGATTTCTGAGAGCTATTCTGCCTCTTCTGGCCTGGCCCATGCCCCTCTCACTATGCCAGCCTTTTCCCTGTCTACCCTGGGGGTCCTTTGAACTGCCAGGCTTGCCCACATATGGACTCACTCCATCAGAGTCAGGACTAGGTCTTGTTCATGGTTCCTACCTCCTCACCTGTCTCTGTGCCTGGCAAACGTTAGACATCCAAAGGTTTGGGGGTGAATATAGGGAGGAAAAAGGAGCGCCCGTATGAGGGGACCCAGGGGATGCCTTCCTCACAGACAGCCCTGCCACCCCAAGTGACTTTATGTTGTTTCTGACCCGAACCAGGACCTCTTGACTCGTTTCCAGAGTGTCAGTTGTCTTTTGACTCAACATCTTTCTGTGCTGAGGAATAGTTAGGGTTAAATGTCTCCACTGGGAGCCTCTCCCTATTGGGAGCTAGCCTCATTACAGTCCTCTTGATTGCAAACTGTATATGTGTTGTGTATACTATATATAGTAAGCTCACTGTGCACACAGTAAAAACATCTTGCAGCCTGGTTGGAGCAAGAAAGATCTCACAAAACACAGACACCCCAAAGGATCAGAATAATGGACAGTCTAACAAGAGTTTCCAGTGTCCCTGAGGTGTCCCCCTGTAGGAGGTGATAGGCTCCGCCCAACCTCACCCCCTCAAATCAAACCCCGCCCTGGCTGGAGCCTGCCAACTCCGTGCTCACCAGGAAGGCGCAGAGCATGTAGAAGCTGATGAAGTAGTAGTAGGCAAAGTTGGTGCCACACGTGTACTCCTCCCCCGGGGCGTAGTCTGACTCCGGGTCACACAGCTTCCCGTAGCTGCAGGCCAGCAGGATCTCTTGCCAGGCTTCTCCTGTGGCACACCTGAGCAGGGGAGAGATGCTGTGCGTTGGCCTACATACGTGGGCTTGGTCCTCCGGAACGCCAGCCAGGAGGGGGGAACAGAACTAGGCTCCTCCCCAGGGGTAGGATCCCTACAAGCTTGGTCACAGTGACCCCTCTTCTCGGCAGCCCCTCTGCTCCACCTTTATGCAGGGTGAAAAGCAGAGCTGGGCCGCAGAAAAGACCCTTCTTGGAGTGGGGTGGCTTTTACACATGACGACCGTCACCGCAAAAATGAGTGTCATCGATCAATGTCAAGGGTCACTGAGGCCTCAGCAACTTTCGAGAGGGACATTTGACCTCTGAACTCTCCTTCTGCGGGGTAAAATAGGCAGTGTTCCACTCAGGAGGAATTCAGTGCCAAACATCAATGCAAGGTTTTCGTAACGGTGACAACTGGGTATCAAGCCAGGCAGGGGACTCCTCTAGCGCAGGGCCCGTGTGGGTCCGGCGCTGCTTGGAGGAGTGCGGAGGGGGGACCCCTGGAGTGCAGAGGGGGGACCCCTGGAGTGCAGAGGGGGACCCCTGGAGTGCAGAGGGGAACCCGAATAATGCCAGGGACTCGTGCCTGAAGAGCAGCAACACGGCTTGAGGGAAAGTCTGGAAGTTGTTGTTCCGATTAATCTGTGTCCCGTCCACCATGGCGATCTTCCCGAACATCTGCAAAGCGCAGAGAACCAGGACACAAGCAAGCGCAGTCTCTTCAGTCTCCTGCCACGTCTGCGTGACCTGCTTCCTACCCTCACCCTTATTTTTCCCTGGTGCCTTTCACTTCGGGCCATGTCAGATCGGAAGCCAAACACATTGGATTCTTTCCTGGGTCCTGTAACATTCTTCCTATCACACCAAACAAAAGGCGAGGGCAGACAATTTCTCTACGGCAATCACTAGATTAGTCAAGACACGGGGAGGGGTTCTGGGCTAAGGCCTCCAGCTAAGGCTTTAGACACCAGGTCTGCTCCCTGAAGGGCACCACGTGCTAGGGTCTCTCCTGGGCTACACCCTGGCTCATAACACGGAACATCTGGGGCTCAGTTCTACCTCCCCTCTCAGCTTGGAGCTGAGCCCTTGGCTCCTGGGATGTGGGAGGCAGGGAAGTTCAGTATTCAGCTGCATGGTTGGTAGGCCTTTCTGGGTCCACAGACAGACCCTCCAGCTTAGCTAGGACTCACCCTTTGGCCTGGGCCCACCTGCCTCTCACCTGCATGCCGATGACTGCATAGATGAAGAAGAGCATGACAATAAGCAAGGCCACATACGGCAGGGCCTGTGGGGAAGAGGACACAGCATCAGCTAAGTGTTTCACCCGCTTGCTCCGAGGGCTACAGAACCACAGTCCCGGGTCCTGCAGCCTGCCCTCCCTTGGCTCACCAGGGACTGCCTGGCTCTGGAACTCTGGGACCCCACCTTGGGCTAGTGGCATCCCTGGGTCAGTTTCCTGGATCCCTGGTCTTGGCCTGTTGGGCTGGGCACTCGCACCTGGAAGGACTTGATGAATGTCCACAGCAGGGTGCGCACACCCTCTGCCCGGCTCAGCAGCTTGATCAGTCTCATGACCCGGAACAGGCGGAAGAAGGCACTGGAGATGCGGGCGCTCTCATCTGGGTCCTGTGGGGCAGCAGCCCCAGAGGTCAGTCTGGGGGTGCTACTCCAGGGTAAAGGGGCAGGGCAGGCAGGAAATGCAGTGCACGCGCGCGCATGTGGTTTTGTGTGTGTGTGTGTGTGTGTAAGTGTGTGTATGTGTGTAAGTGTGTGTGTGTGTGTGTGTGTGTGTGTGTGATATTCATAGTGGGAGAATATTCCAGCCCCACTTCACAGTCCTGTTATCTCATAGCCTTGGACCACCCTGGGATGCGGAGCTCTGGGGCCGTGTGTCTCAAGAGGGTTGGATGTAGGATCCAAGCTATGTAGTAGGCCAGTGCTTGGGAGCAGAGCAGGGATTCTTTCTGGGGTGAGGCTGCAGCAAGGCCCACTGCTGGTGTCCTGTTCATCTCTCCTTCTCCGTAAACCGGCACTAAGCTAAGTATCTGGTGGCCCGTAATGTCTTCAGAAGCGTCCAGTAGCTTTACCAAGCTGTTTGCCGGACACTCAGCGTGGTCACTCCCCCTTGCCCCACCCTACTCTTGAGTGTCGTAAGTTGGGCAAGCTCCTGTCCTTGTACCAGCCTGAGTCCTGTTCCCTGTGTGCCAGTTTGGGCCCTGTTCTCTGTGCCCGCTAAACGGTCACGGAGGTCCTGTGCTCTCATCTACAGAGAAGGTATGGGGAAAACCCTCGGTCCATTCCTCAGGGCTCTAAGGTAGGCCACTACATCCATGCATATTCTACCACAGAGGCCCCCCCCCCCCCCCCCCGACCTCTACCCAAACCCCAACCCTCACTGGGCCTGCTCTAGGGAAAGGAACCCCATGCGATCCATGCAGCCAGCTCAGCATGCAAGCTGCAGGGCAGGGCGAACAGGCTCATGCGGCCTGAAAATTACAACGTTCCCGCAGCCTCCACCCAGGCAATACAGTCCCCCGCTGGAGGCCAGGAAAGTCTGTGGAGAAAAGAGACGAGGGGAGGGGAGGGAAGGGGAGGGGAGGGGAGGGAAGGGGAGGGGAGGGGAGGGGAACACATGGGAGGGAGGCGAAGAGAACTATCAGGATGGACAGACACAAGGAGAGTTAAAAGAGAGAAAAGGACAGGCAAGGGGTGGAGACCTCACGGGGCTGCAGTAGGGGCAGAGAGTGGGTGGGAGCGAGGACGAAGCTCTACGGGAATCATTGAGGCAAGAGGCCTGGGCAAGGGAGTAAGAGGGGAGGGGAGCCTGGACAGAGACAGGTCCCATCTCATCTTTGGGATGCATCTACAGGTGAGAAGGGCTTGGGTTCTCCCTGGGTCTGGGTTAATGTGGTCCAGGGAACATCCTTGCTAAGGACATACTGGGAAACACATGCTCACAGTTATGAGTAGATTCCCCCCCATCCCCTGTAACCCCAGGGTTGATGCCCTCCCAAGGGTCCAGCTTCCAGGGGGTGGGGGACACTGGAGATCCCTCCTCCCACCAGGTGTCCCTCGACTCAGGACTGGGACCAGGATCAAGGCTCGCATCTCAGTGGCCTGGCTCCTCGGCGGTTGGGTATATGGGAGTGGCTATCTTTTCCCCTGGCCACATTTCATGAGATGCCCGTCTTGGGAGCCCTGGGTCAATGAAGGAAGTAATCATTGAGCTTCCGTGTGCCTGCAGGGAGATTGGTCCCAGCACTCGGCTCCCTGCACCACTGGCCTCGATCCTGGCTGCATGCCAGATTCATCTAGAGAGTTATACAGGACGTGTGCCACTGCTGGGGGCCACCAGGCCAACGAAGCTAGTGACTATGGAGCAGGCCTGGTTTCAGTGCACACCAGGACAGTCTCATGTGTAGCCGGATGACAACCCTGTTCTTGTGTAGTCTGACCAGTAGCCACTCACCATGAGTGGCCATTTGAATCACAATGAAAACCAAATAAAACTACAAACTAGTTCCTCAGTGCCATCAGCTACATCTTCAGTGACCAGGAGGTGCATGTGAACAGGGCAGGGTAGGGCTGGCGTTGCAGTTCTGACGGACAGGCAAGGCCTTCCCCTAGTTTGTATGTCAGGAACGGAAATCAGCCTTAACATGACTCAAATACATATTCCTGGTAAGGGAAATTTTCCCACTTCTGAAAACCAAAGTATGACCATGACACCCTCCACAGCCAAGACAAAGGTCTCTGGCAATGTGAGTCTCAGACTTTGAGAAGTAGCTGTTTGAATTGGAGCTGTTTAGTCTGGCTGTTTTGAGTTCTGTCTTCAGGCTGCTTGGGACAAGTACGACTCTCAGGCCACAGAACATGTTTTCTTGGCAAACAGCATGCACGAAAACACACAGCACATATACACTACACATTATTCTCCCTCCCCCCTAATTTTTCCCAGAGCCCACTCCCTATCAGGCCTGAGCAGATGGAGCTGTCTGTCACCATTTGTGATGAGGTGACCAGGGTTCCCAGGATCCTCCCCTAGTACAACAGACAGCTGGTGTGGCAGCCAAGTCCCCAGAAGGTGTCACTTTCCCCAGGGCTGGGCTTTTGGAGCCTCAACCCAAGGCCCCTTCCTCACAGACTCAGGCTTTTCTCAGTTGGGCTCCCCTTTCAGGCATCTGCAGGGTTGATACCTGTCTTTCCCATCAACTTGGTGCTTTGGGCTAGGAGGTGGGAAGTTCAGAAGGAGGCCCTGCCTATGACGAGTCTCCTGCCTCGAACGAACTATCCTTTGGGTAGAATCTCACTGCTCCCCACTAGAGTGGCTTAGGTAGATGAATACCCTTCTCTTTCTCTTCTTCCTCCTGGCTCCCAGGTGTGGCTCAGTGATGAGCCGAGAGGACACTGGTTTTTGCTTTCTGCTTCTGATCTTTGGATCGCTTCTTCCAGCCTCCTCTCCCCTTTTGCTCAGCCTTCAAAATACACCCCAAGTTGACCACCTCTCCCACCCCTTACAGCCAAAACCCTTCGCTGTCCCCTGCCATGTGGACTGCTGCGCGCCCCTCCTGGCTGCTGTCCCTGGGTCAGCCCTGGTCCCTTCTAGCACAAGCTCAACACGGCAGCCACAGTGATTTCGTCAGATCTCATATCTGAGCGTGCCTGCACCTTCCAAAGAGCTCTTCGCCATCTCAGCGATCTGACCACAGCTTGTTAGCCCTGTTCTGCCCCATTCCAGCCACAAGGGCCTTCTGCTGTTCTCTGCATTCAGCAGGCACACTCCTCCTACAGGCCCTTTATACATTCTCCTTTTGCTTTCCAACAGTGTCTGTCATAGCGACAAGGCTTACTCCTTTGCTCTATTCAGATCTCGGCTCCATTACGCTCTTAGTACCACCCTCTCGTTCCCTTCCACGCTCCCTCCTTACCCACTTTGATTTATCACCATGCATTCTGTCATGTGGTAGATTTATCATCTGCTGCCCACTACAGTTTGGTTCCCTGCTGTGCCTCGAGCACCCATACAAGGCACGTAGAGGCATTCGGGAAGTGTTTAGTAAGTGGCATAAAGGACTGACTTCTTAGAGGAGCCGCCTTTTCAGTCCTTTAGGTTAACATCTCAAAAGTGGAGAGCTCACCCTTCCACGACTTGATCAAAACCTTTAGTGCGTTCCTATAAAGTGAGTGGGCTCATGAGGTTCACAGCCTCCCCAGCCTTGTCCGGCCCCCTTCTCTCCTCTGCATGTCCATATAGATCTATTGAGACATCCCAGCACGTCTGACCTCTTCACATCCTCTCCCACATATCTCCAGAAGTTTCCCTGCCTGGGCTTGTTACCCTCTTCAACTCCACTGCTACCTCCTACACCTCCCCCAACTCGGCCGCAGACAACCTCGGCTGGACACTGAATTCTTTCTTTTCTTTTGGTTTTTCGAGACAGGGTTTCTCTGTGTAGCTTTGTGCCTTTCCTGGATCTCGCTCTGTATCCCAGGCTGGCCTCGAACTCACAGAGATCCGCCTGGCTCTGCCTCCTGAGTGCTGGGATTAAAGGCGTGCGCCACCACCGCCCGGCTGACACTGAGTTCTTCATGTCTGCTGTGTTGGCATACTCGGATCCACCCGGTACCCCAGGTACCATTCTGCTCTGGAGGATACAACTTCTCGGAGGCAGAAGACTTGTCCTTCCACCGTTCTAACCCCCAGGGTGCCATACTGCACTTGCCATGGGTACCCCATAAACACTGCGGACTGAACAGGAGCCCTACCCCAGTGAGGTCTCTGCCCCCGCCATACTCACATCGATCTCACTCAGGATGACGTCAATGATGCTGCCGATGACAATCAGGAAGTCAAACACATTCCAAGGGTCTCCAAAATAGCCCTGGGAAGGAAGGTCATGAGAGAGCAGGGGCTGAGCTGTGGATAGAAGCAGCTCTGACCGCCAACAGGGGTGGGGTGGGGTGGTGAGGGGGGCACCCATCAAGGTGCTGGGCAGGCCAGGGTTCCAGCATCCCAGCTCTTCTCTCTTTCTGACTTCTGATTTCTAATTTTCTTCCCCTAGAACATCAGTGGTAGGGGGTTGTTGGGAGCTTAGTCTAGATGGGAATCTCACCTCCAGAGCCCCACTTAAAACTCCTGCCAGAGGCCGGGCAGTGGTAGTGCATGCCTTTAATCACAGCACTTGGGAGGCAGAGCCAGGCAGATCTCTGTGAGTTCGAGGCCAGCCTGGTCTACAGAGCAAGATCCAGGACAGGCACCAAAGCTACACAGAGAAACCTTGTCTCGAAAAACAAAACAAAACAAAACAACTCCTGCCAGAGCTTGATGGCACAGAACTGGATTGGATTGGGTTGAGACCGTGGGAATGGATTCGAGAGCCAAAGAAACAAAGCAAGATCCTAGTTCGAGGCCTATGCTTCAGAAGCAGAAAGGGAGGCAAAGATGGGAACGGATCCACAGATGCAGTGCCCAGAATCTGTGAGCAGCCCAAGAGCAGGAGTCTAGGTTGAAGGGCCTTTAGTAGAAGAAGACCCAAGTCTCTCGTCCCAGGCCACAGCAGGTCCTCTGTCCCCATGGCTCAGTCACTCACCCTGGGCTTGAATGCAATGAGCTTGAGGACCATCTCCAGGGTGAAGATGATGGTGAAGGCCACGTTGAGAATGTCTGAGATGTGGTTCATCTGTTCCGACTGGTTGTAATGCTGAAGAGGCAACATGGGAGAGGTGGGCTGGACGTACCAGCTCCAGATGGCAATCCTAGATCCCTTCTCTCTGTGGGCAGCCCCTCCTGTCCACCCCGGGGCCCACTTCTCACCGAGTTTTATCTCGGCAAGCTGGAAGACTAGTCATCCCCTGACTCCCACCAGATCTTAAGAATACCTTTCATGCCTATTCCACCCCATAATAGACAGTGATAAAGGACAGAGTGGAGGTTCAACAGGCGCAAGGTCGACCAAGTATGGCTTGGGGCTGCAAGGCCAGATATCATTTACACATTGGTCCTGGGTGACCAGAATTGGCAGTCTCCTAGGCAGGGCTTTGCATAGTCATTATAGAAGAGGACTAAAGAGAAGACCCCATGGGTTCTGGGTTGACATCACCACTGTCCAGTGGACACAAAGCTAGCCAAGTTTCCTATATCCTATACGCCAGTGATGGGGATGGAGAGACCCTTCAGTTGACAGCCTTGGCTTCTGTGACCGCCTCTATGGACCACCTGAGACTCTCCTTCTTTTTTTAAAAGTTGATGAAATTCCAATGTCTTCTACAGAACCTTCCGAGGTAGGCGAGAAGGGTCTGCTGATTGCCCTACCCCTTACAGCTGCTGCCCAACTCAGCCCCCAGAAACTATTACTTATATTCCTCTACATGACCAGGGTCTGTAGCCCAGTGAGTCCCCTCCCAGGTCTCCATGAACCTACAGTGCGTGGTCCTATCATCGTGTTCTTGTGAAACATTCCCCCACAGGCTTGTGTCTTTGAACATGTGGTCCCCAGACTGTGGTGCATTGGGAGGAAATAGGTCACTGGGGTAGGCCTTGAGGTTTATAGCTAAGCCTTGCTTCCCACCCTGTCTCTGCTTCCTGGTCTGCAGAGAGGGAAGCAGCTGCTGCGTGTTCCTACCACCATGCAGCAGCCTTTCAGTCTGTATTGTATCCCCTCCAGTCACGAGCCAAAATCAACCTCTCACTCCTCAGGTGCTTCATGTAAGGTGTTTGGTCACAGCTATGAGAAAAGCAACTAACATATATTAAGTATCTCTTGGGCTCCTAGGAGCAGGGAGTCTAGCTGTGAAGTTGTATTATAAAGGGTGTAAGAGACCAGATGTTTAATTAAATAGCAAGATATGATCGATGAAGAGGTGGCTTCTCTCCTAAGCGGGCCGCCTGTCTTGTGAATCCTAAAGCTATTTTTCTTGGGGTCAGAGCCGAGTTTCCGAACAACCCAGCCGTCCAGATTTGCAACAGTGAAGGGAAAACAGAGAACCCGTGTTCTGCTTCCTGCGCATCCTCCTTGCCTGTAGCATCCATCTCCTGTTTGCAGAATTGCCATCCCATCTAGCTGGAGGCTTGAATTAGCTCCTTAACAAATGAACCATCGGGGACAAGGCTGGGATCAGTTCACTCCTGTATCCTGCAGCAGGTGCTCTAGGAATACCGACTGGGATGAACTGGGGACTTCTCGGCATCCCTGCCCCGCCCAGGCCCTAGGTCTTGGTCAGTCCCCCAAATCCTTACCTGCATGCCTAGGCAGATAGTGTTGAGCATGATGAGGGCAAACATCAGGTATTCAAAGTAGGAGGAAGTGACGACGTACCACACCTGATACTGGTATGGGTTTTTGGGGATGTAACACCTCAGTGGGCGGGCCTTCAGGGCATACTGTACACATTGGCGCTAGAACACAATAACAGAGGAGAGGTCAGCGCCAAGAGGCCCATCCCTCCCTCTCTGTACCTATGGTCATGGAGTTGTAGGAAGCCTGGTGTGCGGCGTAGGAACAGCTGTGGCCAGGCGCTAAGGAACTGGCTGAGGAAGTCGGAATGACTGGGCATCTTGAGTGATCGTGACTCCTTTTGATCACAGCTGCAGCCCAGTGCAGAGGTTCTGAAAGGCTTTCTCTCGGGACAACAGGCAAGGTCCAGAAGAAAGCCCTTCCCCCATACCAGTGCGAACTGATTCAGGTTGCAGGCAAATGGGGTCCACAGACTAGGCCTGGGCCTGGGTGGGGCCTCTCTTCACGGGCCTGTGGGACTCTGCTGCCCATCTCTGGCAGATGGCTCAGTACCTGGTTCTTGTCGAGCTCACAGTTCTTATACTCCGTCTCCCCCTGTTCCTGGAAGGTGACGATGACAAAGCCCACGAAGATGTTCATCATGAAGAAGGCAATGAGGATGATGTAGATGATGAAGAAGATGGCCATCTCCACCCGGTTGTTGTAGATGGGGCCTGCGTCCTCCTCATTGGAGTCTATGGCCTTGTACAGTAGCCTTGGGGTAGGCAGAGAGGAGAGGCTAAGTAGGGTTGGGATAATGAGGCTGAGATCCGGGCCAGGAAGGTGGGTGCTATCCCATTGGCCACAGGAGCCAAAGCAACTTTCTGGATAGCCAAGGAACGAGAGAGAAGGCAGAACTGGTTTAGGGAAGACTAGAACCCACCCTGTCACAGTCCTGCCACTCCAGGGGACATCTTAACTACCCTCAGCGAACCATTAAGACTCCCCTGTGGGGAGAGAGGCATGCATTTGTGGGGGATTGGACATATTCTGTCAGAGTCCTCTGGTTAGGCTGCCTGAGGAGTGGCATGAGTCAGTGGGTTGGTTGAGCACAGCTACAGGCCGGCGTGGGATAGTGTGGGGGGGGTCTGCTTCTTTCTTGGTACTACCCTAACTGTGCCCATAATGGACCCAGACCCCAAGCCTTACTCACTGAGGCCACCCCTCGAAGGTGGAGACGGTGAAGAGTGACATCATTGCCGAGAGCACATTGTCGAAGTGGAAGTCATTGTGCATCCACTGGCGGGGACGCAGCTCTATCTGGGTGGGGTCTCCGTCCTTGTAGATGTAGTAGTAGCCCCTGACACAGGGAGGCCCGGTTACTCCACGGTGTGGCTGGGATACCTCAACCACACCCACGTCCCCTGGGCCCTGGGTCGTGAGTGTGCCAGAGAAACGCCAGAGTTATCGGACAGAGAGGAAGGACACTGTTGGGCATTCCCTCCCCACAGCTACCGACGGCCCGGGCTTCCGTAAGCTGGTACCCCAATGCCCGTCCTGAAGGACACCGTGTGCCTCATGTGAGCCTCCCGTCCCCCTCAGCTGGCAGAGCCTGGTGTACCTGCACTCCTGCTCCGTCATCTTGGATAAGTCATTACAGCTGTAGAACTTTCCCTGCATCCAGGAGGGAAAAGGACAGACTGAGACATGGTCATAAAAACAGGGCGGGGAAGCAGGCTCTGTGGGTGCTCGGTTCCGGGGGAGAAGGGAAGGCAAGCTGTCTGGAAGGAGGAGGCTTCTCCTCTCTTACTCCGAGGGCAAGGCCGTCGTTACCCATTTTCGCGCTCCCCAGCGGCCTCCCACCCAGCCTTGCTGCCGCCTTAGATGAGCATCCGTGGTATGGCCAAGGTTGGACCTGAGGATGTAAGTACACCCAGCCCCGCCCCTTTGACAGTGGCGGCCTCTCAGTCCCCCATCTTTTTCCCTCTGAAGAAATCTCCCTCACAGTCCACACTGTACAAGGGGAAGGGCTTTCCCCCACTCCCCCGACCTTTCTTCTGCCTGTGGACAGCAAAAAGCCACTAAGGGAACAAGAGCCAGCCAGATGGACCCGCCCAGTAGGGCTCTGAGAAATTTAAATTTGTCCTCGGAGTTAGATGGGGTGTCCCAGCGCATCCCGGGACAAGGCCTGACCTCCCCCAAACTGACTTCAGCAAGAGCACATTCTTCTTTTGTCTTTATCACATGCTGAACACCTGCAAAAGGTTTTGTTTGAACAAGAGTTGAGCAAAGAGTTAAGACTGAGTTAGGTTTGAAATCCAGGAATTCTGGTCCAGCTCCTTGGAAGGCCCTGAGAGAGGAAAGCCTCAGGCAGGGGCCCAGCTGCCCTGCCTCCTTCCAGGGCTCTGTCATTTCCTCAGGGCACTCCTTCTCTGAGGTTGCCAGAGCAGAGGGTGGAGGTGAAGTAAGAGATCTGGAGGAGAAGCAGAAACTGGACCTCACTGATGCTGAGCAGGGTTCTGGGTGCTGGAAAGCAGCACCCACGAAATTTTACACAGAAAGCAATGCCGAGCCCTTTGGCATCATGTGGAGTGCATGTGACATGCGTCGAGAGTAAAATGTGATGTAAAAGGCCAGTTGTACCAGAAGTGATTCCAGCTGCTGGGTGGGCAGACCCCGAGGGCTCTGGATGAAACTAGAGCACAGATGTGGCATGCTGGAGGGTTATTGCTCTTGCATAGGGAGGATGTAAGAGCCAAAGAAAAGGTGGATCCTCATGGGTTGCTTCAGGGCATGTGTTAGTGGGCTCTTGCATGCCAGGCCTGGACTAGGTGCCTAGGTAAGAGCTATATAACACAGAGACTCTTCCCTTGGGGATTCTAGGGTCACAGGAGAAGACTGTGGGAAAAGTGGGCATCCCTTTACCACGTCCAGCTGGCTGATAAGATGTCCAGGTATTGTAAGCATTTTGGTTCCTCCAGAGCAGTGGCCAACAGGACCTCTCCTCCTTAGCGACCTTGAGAGACCAGATACTGACCACTTTCCTCAAAGCTTGTATCATGTCCTCAAGAAGGAGCGTGGATTTGCCTTTGAGTCCCTCAACCCTAGCCAAGGCCCTGGCCCATCTACGGAGAAAGTGATTCTTACATATTGGTTGACTGAATAACAGTGAGATGACATGTCTAAGGCTGCCCGAGGTTATATAATCACGAATTGGGTCATGGCAGGAAGTAGCACACTCTACTAGAGTCAGAGGCGTCTAGAAATCAAAGTTCTGTGAGAGGACGGTCCTCGAGAGAAACTGAGAGCTGTGTTCTCCCAGGGAAGTATCAGTAGGATGAGGTCAACTGCGGATGAGACACGAAGACGGCCTCTGTAGAGGCTCCTGGGTGGTGTGGATGACATCCACATCCAGACACCCCAGCCAGGACTATGGGTTGCAGAGCCTGGCTGTAGCAATGAAGGTGGTTGGGCTGGGGTGTTGTAGAGAGCCCTGACAGTGGGTGGAGGCTGGAAAGTTGGTGAGAGGAAAGATAACTGGGCCTGTGGGTTAACAGTAGTCACGATGGCAAGGGTGCCTAGAAAACCAGAGGGTAGCCACAGGCATCGCCTAGCAAACAGGCTCTGGGTGTTTCCTAATTTTGACACCATAGGTTCAAGGTCATCCGCTTTCACAATTTGGGGTCCTCTTTCTTGAGAAGAAGTGGCTGGCTTTTGTCGCCGCCTTCAAGTTGGCCAGGGAAGGGCAGCTGGGCCAGGCAGGGCCTCACCTTGAAAAGCTGGACTCCGATGCAGGCAAAAATGAACTGCAGGAGGGTGGTGACCAGTACGATGTTCCCGATGGTGCGGATGGCGACAAACACGCACTGTACCACGTGCTAGAAAGGTAGGGGGGAGTTGGTGGGCACTGGGCCTGCTGCCCCGCTGCACCCCACCATCCTGTCCACGGAACCCTGGGAATTCAAGACTCCGCCAGGCCCCCCGGGGGGGGGGAGCCAGCTGGACTGCCTCATTCTCACCCCCACAGACGGCCAAGTCGAGCCTCTGAATCCAGGACCTGAGGACCCGGAGTCAGGGCAGCAGGCCCTTCCCCCCGCTGGGGCCTCGCTCACCTTCAATCCCTTGGCTCTGTTGATGGCTCGGAGCGGCCGCAGCACCCTCAGAACTCTCAGGATCTTCACCACAGAGATGGCGCTGGACCTGCCGGGAGCAAGACGCTGTGGAGCCTGGAGGGGTGTGCTGCAGCCAGGAGCTTTTCACCTCCTACCTGGAGCTTTCCACATGCGCGCGCATGGCCTCCCTGACCACCCACCCCACCCCTCACCGATGCCACAGTCTCAAGGCTCAGAGCATTTAGCATTGCCACTTCAGCCCAGCTAAGGACTACCCAAGGGTGTTCCTAACTACAGCCCTAAGCCACCCTCCTATTTCAGCCAGGAACCCAGGCATGCACAGGGCTGGGACTCCTGCTCTGAGGCACAGGCACAGAGCACAGAGCACCCATGCACTGGGACTGGGCCCTGCAGGCACAGAGCACAGAGCACCCAGGCCCTGGGACTGGGCCCCGCCCCTGCTTACTCGAGGCCCATAGAAATGAGCGACACAGCCACCACCAGCAGGTCCAGGATGTTGAAGTAGTTGCGGCAAAAGGAGCCTTTGTGCAGGAAGGCTCCGTAGGTGGTCATCTAGAGAGAGAGGCAACATCTGGAGCCAGCAGCTGGAGGAGCAGGCCTGCCCCTCCTAGAGAAGGGTTTCCCACCACAGTCTGCTCAGGAAGGTGCCCGCTGTATCAGGGAGTGTCATGTTATCAACTCCCCCTGTTATCTGCTTCAGATAAACCCTGGGCACTTCCAGAGCACCTGTGCCAGTCTCTGCCCTCAGAGGGGAGGTCCTTTCCTCCATATGTCTTCATGTGCCTTGGCGTCTTCTCCTTCACAGGAGGGGGAAGCCTGGCTGGCCCTGCTCCCGGGACTCACACTCACTACCTCATATTCACTTCCTCGATGGTGTAGCTTGATTTCAAAGTCTAATTCTAATACCCCACTTTTGAAGTCTTCCTTGAGCTCTGGGTAGCTGCCTTATCCCTCTGCCCAATTGTCAATGGTGGAAGCACTAAAGAGGGAGCACTCCTCCCTCTGCTCCACTGTCAATGGCGGAAGTGCTGGAAAGGGAGCACTCCTCCCTCTGCTCCACTGTCATTGGCAGAAGTGCTGAAAAGGGAGCACTCCTCCCTCTGCTCCACTGTCAATGGAGGAAGTGCTGAAAAGGGAGCACTCCCTCTGCTCTACTGTCAATAGTGGCAGTGCTGAAAAGGGAGCACTCCTCCCTCTGCTCTGTGCTGGTCCTTACATACAGTCACCCTCTCCTCTTCTATTGGAAGAGACAAAGGCCTGTGGCTCTGGGTTCCAGTTGCAGATGGAGCCTCCCCCTGCTCATCAGAGCCCGCTACTGTGATGAACTGAATCCAGCGCTCCCACCTCAGGAGCAGGCACACAGCGCTGTGTTGTAGAAACCCAAACCAGGGCAGTGGTCCTTTCTTTAGATAAGAGAACTGCTTTCTGTTATCTTAGTCGATAACCTGGGACCCCTTTATTCACCCCAAGGTGACCTTAAGCTTCTGTTCTTCTTGCCTTACCTCTTGACTGAGCAGATTACAGGCATACCCCACCAGGCCTGCTTTCACACAGTGCTGGGAATCCAAGCCAGCTCTTTATATTAGGCAAGTATGCTCAATGGAGCCACATCTCCAGCCCATGTGAGAGTAAACTTTTAACAAATTTTCAAAAGCTGGCAATTCCTGATTTGTAAAAACCCTTTGCCTTTTATGTGGCAGCGCAAGGTGTGGCACTGGGAGCCCCCCTCCCCTCCAAAGTTAGAGGGCATTTCCAGACTTGCAGCTTGCTTCTCCAAAGAGCTAGACCCCAAAGCACATGGCCAAGATGGAGCAAAGCCAGTCTACAAGGCTGCTGAACTCTCTCTAGGACACTCCCCCACGGTCACTTCTTTGGGAACTCTAGGAGGATAAGAACTTGCCTGGTACTTGCAGCAAAGGTCTAAGGGCCAGTCCCAACTCCCAGGCCCACTTCAGGCTAACCGTGTCTTCCATGTGGAAGATCTGCGCTTTTCTGAGAGGTAGTGGCCCCAGGCGGGTCATAGTTCTTGTCTCCAGCCTTTCATTCAGTCACCTGCCCCCTTGCCTTACTTCCCTTTGCTCAGGAGCCCTGTGTGGTCTCCTGTACCTGATGAGTCTTCCTTACCGTTATTCACCTCTATCTTCTTCTCCTCCCATCCCTCCGGAGTGTCCCCCAGCGCGTCACTGTGTATAAACTGGAGCCACACGTCCCAGAGACACTTGGTGCCCAGCCATGTCTGTCCTGCAGCCTTCACTCACCTTGAGGACAATCTCCACAGTGAAAACCGCAGTGAACACGTAGTCAAAATACTCAAGGATCTGGAGGTGGGAACAAAGGCAAGGCAGTCAATGAGAGAATTGGCCAAGCAATGGTTCCACCACAACCATCGTCACCACCATCACCACCATTACCGCCACTGCCAATCATTGTCACCATCATCATTACCACCACCATTACTACTATCATAATCATTACCACAACCATCACCATCACCACCGCCACCATTATCGTTAACATCACTACCTCATCACGTCAATATCATCACCATTATCAACAACAGCATCCCCCCCACCACCATCACTATCATTACCGTTACTAACATCAGTACCATCATCACCATTATCATCACCACACTCTCGATACCACCCTCATCACATCATTACCACCTTGACCACCATCACCATCGCCAGCACCAGCCCTATTCAGGGCAGGCAGTCAGAGCCTATCTTGCTTCTGCTATGGCAACACTGTTCAGAAACTGCAGGGGGAAGTCCCAGCCCTCCAGAAACTCTGATGCCTACATGCTTACGGCCACATAGAACTTGGGCCCCAGAGCGGGGCAGGGCAGGTGAGGCCTAGCGTGGAGGAGGATGCTGAACCAGCTGAAGGGGTTGCCATCACCTGGTTCCTCATGGACTCGGCCCGGATGGGGTCCTCAGCGGCCAGCGCAGCACTACTGAGCAGGATGAAGAGCAGGATGAAGTTGGTGAACCAGGTGGCATTAACAATGCGGTGACAAAGGACACGGATCCTGGTGGGGCAGGTTGGGAGGGTGAGAGCCGTGAGATGCTAGAAGTCCAGGCCTCACTACCTTCTGTCCCACAGAGGGACACTGAATCCACTCACTGTCCCCCACAGTCAGGGAGTCAGGGTAGCCCTACATCCACATGATCCCTTGGCTGAACACGCAGGACTTGGCGCCCACTTCGTTCCTTCAGTCTTAGTCCCATCTCCCAACTGAGCCCCTTCATCCCCTGTTCCCTCGACCAGTACCCATGAGGATGCTCCAGCCAAGAATGGGACAGGCTGATCCTCCCTGGGGCAGAAGAAACCCCGTGAAGTCTGCTTATTCCAAAGCTGAAGACTGTAATAATGAAAACTCCAGCTCTCCCCACACCTCATCTCCTCGCCCTACCTAAAACTGTCCTTAGAACTAGCCATCACGGTCCCTCTTAGGTGTAAGTAACTGATAAAAAAACTTAAAAGTACGATTTCTCCCAGAAATACTAGCATTTTTATTCATTTTAAAGGTATTTTATTTTTGTTATATGTTAGGCATTGAAACCAGTACCTCGTGCATATTAGGCAATATTGAAGCTACCCCCCTAGCTCAGTGCTAGCATTTTTAGACAGAGCCCAAGACTGTAACCTAAGGAATGAGTTGTGCATGAGGTAACCAAAGAGAGGGAGCGTCAAGAGTAGACCTCTTCAGGGAGGGAAGCCACTGTCTCCGAGGGCCTCATCCGCTACCCCGCATGGCTGCCAAAGCACTACCTACTTATTGGTGGGGCTGAAGATGAAGAAGGAGCTGGCCTCTGGAATGGGCACTGCTTTCTCTTTCAGCTGCAGCTCGGCCAGAGGGCGTGGCCGGGGGCTTATTGGGATCTCAGGCTCATCTTCCTCGTCGTCCCCTGTGGGGAGAGGGAAAGAAATAAGGGGTGTTTTCAAACCTCGCTAGGCCCTTAGCTTCTGTGCTCAGAGTCCTCCTAGGAGCTTCCGAAGCCGCTAAGCAAAGGCCAGTTTGGGGCCGTGGGCATTATTAGCAGGGTACAGCCTGGGCCTTCCCCTTTTGGTACACAGTGCACAATCTAGCTCAGAAGTTCCCCCCAACCTTCCGCAAGTAGGGCTGTGAGCAAGACTGAGGGGTCTGGTCGGGCGTGGTGGCACATGCTTTTAATCCTGGGTTAGGATTCTAAAAACAATAATTTCTAGCATGGGCAGAATGGAGCCAATATTCTTGAGCTTTGGCCAGGATCGTGGAACTGAGGTGAAGCAGAAAGCAGAGAGGAGGAAAAAGATATTCCAAGCGTGTGCCTAAAGGGCTCTGCTTGGTTCTCTCCACCAACAGTGCCTCCTCCCCACCCTGTCAACCCGGCCGAGACCCTAGGGCATGCCAACGGCGCCTGATTCTGCTCTCTCCATGGCAGAGACCTGTGGGCTCCTCAACCTACCCAAATCACATCCCCACTCCTCTCCATCCTAAGAGGCCCCACCTCCTCCCCAAGATGACACTCCCATCTGCCCGGCCCGCCACGGCTGTTTAATTGCAGAGAAGGTTCATCCTTAGCGTTAGCATCTTTGCCGCTCCTCTTAATCCTTTATTCCTTTGTCTGTGTTTGTTTTGTTAACTTTATTGCATATATTCCCCCCACACACACACCCCAGTACTGGGAATTGAACCCAAGTTCTCATGTGTGAGACAAGCGTGAGGTAAGCAAGCACTCTACCACTGACCCATATTCCCATGCCTCGGCCTCTGGAGGGGCTGGAATTACAGGACTGTGCATTCGGCCAGATTGCACAGCACTTTCGTCAAAAGCCTCGTTAGCTTATTTTTGGAAGGAGGTTAGATATAAATACATTTATGGACCTTGGTAAGACCTCTCTCCAACCCACGTGTTCTCTACCCCCTGCTCTCATTGCTCTCTAGCCCCTTCCCTTTCCCCTCACAGATTTCCTACAGCTGGTGCCCTCCCATCCTCAGGCCAGCCACGTGCACCCAACAGAGGGCAGCCATTAGGTGACACAACTCCACGGGAAGCGTTCCCAATATACTACTGCGAGATATTTAAAGAAATTTCGCCAGCCTTGCTCCCCATACTTCACTTTGCAAAAACATTCCATGCAATCATTTATTCGATTTGTGGAGAGCCTACAGTGTGCCATGTGCTGCCATTCCAAGCACAGAAAGTCCAATTGGAGCTTAGAGACACTAAAGCTAACCAGCCGATTCCACAGTAAGAAGTAAAATGCTCAGAAGGACCCATAAGTGAGCTAACTGAGCCTGAGAGCACTTGTGCCCCAGGTTTTTCCAAGAGGCCGTGTGGTGCTAATCCAGCTTGGCTCTGCTTCTACCGTGTATCATGCCCTTGGTCCAGACGAGCAGGGCTCACACAGCAGCCAGGGGCGACATGCACCCGGGATGCTTGCCGCTGGTCTGCAGCTCTGTTTTACCCAACTTCCTTCCCAGGCTGCCCTTGTGGATTTTCACATGGTGGCAGTCATGGTTTCATTTCAGATACAGGATAGGGAGTGATCTGCCCCATCACCATATGAATGAAAATGCCCTTCTTTGGCTAGAACCCAGTGGGCAGGGGTGGGGGTGGGGTGGGGAACTTGCATGCCCACCAGCCCTGTGCTCTTTGAAAATTGAGTGTTCAGTACTGAAGCAGATAGCTGGAACTCAATACAGGTAAATTAAAGCATGTGTGGAATGTTATTTTTGCTATGTATACTGCAGGGAGAGGCAGGCCTGCAGGTGGCCTCCTTGTGAGGCTAGGTGACAGCTCCAGGGTCCTGGCCTCCACATGGAGAGGTCCAAGCAGGAGACACCCAACCGAGAATTCAGCAGCAGCACGTTGCCCCCTTCACCAGCATCCTGCTCCAGCCTGGGCTCTGGGATCCTTACCTGGGAAGTCAGCCGAAGGGTAGGGGTCTTTCACCTCATTGACGTTAGATTCGAACTCATCAATTTTCAGCTGTAGAAAGGAACAGTGAAGGTGATGAGGGAGCAAAAACTGATGCTTTTATTTACTGGACATCTTCTGGAGGGCCGCTGTTCAGCTTCCTGAATGTTCTCTATAACCTGAGAGGCGGGTGGTAGCTGGGAAGAGAAGCCAGGCCCAGCACAGTAGACAGCTTGTTCAAGCCTGTGCTGGGCAAAACGAAGGCTTTAGTCAGTCTTAGACTGCCTTCACTGTGTGTTCCCTTCTCTCTCTACAGAAGAACTGAGCTCCCCAGGCCAAGATGCCCAGCCTCTCTGCAGCCCAGGACCCTGGCTCCTGACTCTCTTTCCTCACTCTCCACAGTGGTGAGCAGGGCCTATGCAAGGCGGGGCTAGCAGGAGTGCAGGGCCAGGCTCTTAGTAGAACTGTGGGTGGGCAGGTGGGCTGCCTTCTTGCTCTGCACAGGACTCCAAGGAAGTCTGGCTCCCATGCTGAAGGGCCTGTGCCTTTCCACACAGGAGTCCCCGGAAGAGATGTGGGCTCTCCCTCCTACAGAAGCAAGAGGATGTTGTTTCCACTACCCTATGTCTCCTTCCTATCCCTAAAGTGCCCCGAGTAGCATGGGGAGTCAGGGACTCTCAGAGGCTCTCCGGCCAGCCTGCAAAGGGCTCACCTTGGCGGTGGTGGGGATGCCTTCACCCTTGAACTTCTGCTCCAGCTTCTTAGCCATCGTGGACTTCTCTTCTTCTGACTTGTCTGGGAGCCCCCTGGAGTGAAAACCAAGGAAGTCCAAAGTGGAAGCTGTAAGCATGGTTTCAGGGCTGACAACTCCCTCAGGAGGATTTCACACCAATGGCTCAGGGGACTCAGGGAATGAGCAGCACTAGCCAAATAAGAAGGGAGTAGCCCTGGGCAAGCCTTTCCTCTGTGGTAAAAGGTGTGAAGGTGTGAGCCTCTACTCAAGCTAGATTCTCAGTGGTCATCCATAGTCGGTGTTTGTTCCAGTGAGTGGGGAGTGGCTTTGCACCTGTTTTATTTATTTATTTTTTGTTTGTTTTTCCGAGACAGGGTTTCCCTGTGTAGCTCTGGAGCCTGTCCTGGAACTCACTCTGTAGCCCAGGCTGGCCTCGAACTCACAAAGATCTGCCTGGCTCTGCCTCCTGAGTGCTGCGATTAAAGGCATGCGCCACCACCGCCCACCACACCTGTTTTATGTAGGATTCAGAATGGAATTATGGCCTGTCTAACTTCCAAGCCTGGAAATGGCTGGGGCCTTTGCCAGTTTCTCCTCCCTAGCTCTTTCCACCTTGCTTCCAGGAAATGGGCATCCCATTCCTGCAGGCATGTGTGTTAAAAGAAGCAGGCTCCAGGCTGAAGTTCAGTTACCCAAACTGTGATCCTCCCAAACCCAGCTGCATTAGCACTGCCTGGGAACTGGCTAGAAAGTCAAGCCTTCATCCATCCCACCCGGTTCAGGCCGGTTGACACAGACTGCATTCCAGACAACCTCCAGATGGTTCATTTGCAATTTGAATTTGGGAAACACTATCCAGAAAAAAACCTATCCCACGTCTACTCCCAGAGGCACCAGGCACAGAGTGACATGACCAATCACAGATGGACAGATCTGCAGAGAACTGAGAAGTCAACCCCTACTTCACGGTAGCCCGAGGCTCCAAAAATACTGACTCCCTCCAAGAGGTACAGTGACTCAATAGCAGGACCGTGAGGAGGGAAGAAAAAAATGTTAGAACCTCCTGGGCTCGATCATCGTATTCCTTGAGGTCTGTCTAGAAGACCAACTTGCCTCTGGCTTTGCCCAAAGAACACTACACTTGGTGTAACTTCAGAAGGCCCGAATGTCCTGATGGGAGAAGCCTGCCCACAAGAGCGGGTGTCATGTGGCCTCTGCTCATCTGGCTCAAGGCAGGGACACCCCCCAATACCCCCTACCCCCCCACCCCCGCTCAGAGCTTAGAGGCCACGGCCACAGCCACGGCCAGCGTTCTAGTTCTCACCCGGAAGACAGCACTCACTTAGACATCTTCCTGCGCTTTCTCTCCTCCGCCTTGGCCTTCTGGGCAGAAGTCAGACTCTCCGCCTCTGCCAGGTTGTCCACAGCGATAGCCAGGAAGACGTTGAGCAGGATGTCTAAAGGTCAGCTAAGGAGCCTTGAGTTGTGGTGGAAGGCAGTTTCTGGGACAGGAGTTTTGCCTGCCCGTGTGTTTCAAGGCCTTAATCCCTGAGGAGGGCAGTTTCTTGACAGAGCTACACCCTTGGGAAGACAGGCCCAGGAGCATAGACGGGTCCTCAGAGAGGCTTGCCTGCAGAGGGGGCCTGAATCCACCATAGCCTTTGAGCCTTATTCTCCGTCTGCCAGAGCAGATCCCAGCTGCTGAGTGAGGCAAAGCAGGGGCCATTGACTTCATCTCTGCCCACTCACCGTGGTGCCAGATTCCACAGCACAGCATCGACCGTCAGGCCATTAGCATCTCTCTGCCCATCTCCTTCACTCTCCTCTCTGCTTATCTCACCTATTGGCCTATCCTAGCTTAATCTTCCTGGTCCCAGAGCTCAGGCGGATCCCTGGTCACAGCTTTGGGTCGGCTTCAGTTGTTAATCTGACACACTTGGGAAGAGGGAACCTCCATTTCGGAACTTCCTCCATCGGACTTGCTTGTGGGTATATCTGTGGGGCATGTTTTAAAACTCTGATTGATGTCGGAGGGCCCAACCCACCCTGGGCAGGTGGTCCTGGGTTGTACAAAGAAGGTAGCTGAACAAGTCAGAGGGATAGGGCTAGTAAGCAACATTCCTCCAAGTGGTTCCTAACCTTTGGGTCGTGACCCCTTGGGGGGTTGAATGATCTTTTCGCAGGGGTCGCCTAAGACCATCAGAAAACATAGATATTTACCTGACAACTCGTAACAGTAGCAAAATTACAGTTATGAAGTAGCAACGAAAATAATGTTATAGTTGGGCGGGGTGGGGGGGTGGGGGGGTGGGGGGGGGTGGGGGGTGGGGATCACCACCACGTGAGGAACTGTATTAAAGAGTTGCAGCATTAGGAAGGTTGAGAACCATTGGGCCGTGGTCCCTGCTTTAGTTCCTGACTCCAGGGCCTTGCTTGAGTTCCTGCCCTGACGTCCCTCGATGACTGACCATGATATGGAACTGTAAGCCAGACAGTTTTTTTTCTCCTTCAAGCAGGAAGACACCTTGGTTCCTCCCGGCATGCCTCCAGCTGCTGGACCAGGCTGCCCTACCCTCTCCACTGCGAAACTGCTAAGCCCTGGGTTTCTTCCCACTTGCTTCAGGTTCCCACCAATCTCACAGCCGAGAGTCCCCATGGCTCCCCAGCATTTCCGGTGGAAAGGACTACACTGCTGCTACTATCTTTACTGTGTCCGGTTCCTCCACTCCGTGAACCTGGGAACCCCACGGACTGACTTCCTGACACATGGGGACCCCTGATCCTCCCTGCTAATCCAACTTCCCCAGTTCTTCTTTGCACCACGGCCCAGAGGGGATACAGTTGCCACAGACGAAAAGGATGATGAAGTAAATACACACGAGCACGCCGGGGTAGGAGGGGCCTCCGTAGGCCATGATGCCATTGTACATCACAGAGTTCCAGTCTTCTCCTGTCAGGACCTAGGTGGGGGGTACACAAGATGAAAGGACACATCACCCCAAAAGGCCTTTGTCACCTGTCAGCTCCCCCGGTCCCCCGGTCCCCACGGTCCAGGTGATTACTCCCTGTGGCCCTCACTGCTCCTCCTCCAGTTAGCTACAATGTTATCAAGGTATGAGTGGGCTCTGGAGAGGAGCACAAGACGGAAGGGCTGCCTGGAATGGCTGGAAAAAGTCTTATCAAGCCTCTTCAAGGCCAAGTTTGATCATGGGGCCACCACTCTGATCTTAATCCCCAGGCTGAAGTGGACTACACTCAGCCAGGCCTCTGTTATTCTGGCCTCCAAAAATAGTACCACTGTCAAGTCCCTTGAAAAGCACCATCCCTGGCCAGCCAGTGAGGTAGTGAGCGGAACAAGGGCAGGACGAAGCCATCTCCAGGGCAGACTGGTTGTCCCCTACCACTCCTGCTGGTATGGCACGGTAGAGTGACTTGTGAGATGCTGCTGACGTGGAAAGGAACATTTCCATGCTCAACACTAAGAAAGCTCCTCTGGGAGCCTGCGGCTCTGAAGGTCACTCTCTGAATCGCCGCAGCCATGATCCCTTGAGTGGTTTCTCATAGACAGGTAGCCCCTCTGCCTCTCCTGTGAGAAATGGGTCTCAGATGCCTGTGGTTTTCCCAGCTTGCAGAGGGAGCTCTCAGCTTGTCTGACTTTTTCCTAGAGCTGTGAGCAGCACACCTCCGACTTCCAGTCTACCCCAAGTGTTTACATCAGCTGCTACAGCACTGTGCCAGGCACCAGGGACCAAAAGAAACAGACAGACTAGGCATCATAAGGCACAGCTCCAGGGAAAGAGACAAGTATCATAGTATTGCAATGGCCCAAGGTACAGGCCATAGGGAGTGAGAAGGACGTTGAATTTAACCAACAGGTCAGAGAAAGGCTTCCTGGCGGAGGTGATGTTTTCCCAGACATTGAAGCAGGGCTCAAGAACCTCCCAGAACGAGGGCTTCCCAGACAGAACACCTACCTGGAAGACACTGATGAGGGCCTGGGGGAAGCTGTCAAAGTTGCTGCGTCGTACTTCTGTGTCTTCGAAGTCAAACCTGCCTCCAAAGAGCTGCATGCCCAGCAGGGCGAAGATGTTGATGAAAAGGAAGAGAAGCAGCAGCAGAGAGGCGATGGAGCGGATGGAGTTGAGCAGCGACGCCACCAGGTTGCTCAGCGATGTCCAGTACCTGCGGAAGAGGAGCAGCAAGGTGGGGGCTGGGCAGGGCCTTCTCACTGCTTCTCCCGAGCCCGAGCCCAGGAGGGCTGGAGGCCAAGACTGGGGACATAACAGAGAAGGGCTCTGGCTGAATCCCTGGCTTCCTGGTGCATGCCTCTTGGTGAACGTCTGTCTGTCTGCCTTCGTTCCTATTCCATACTCCTAGGTAGGGCTAGGGATGACCTTCCATCCTCACTATGTACACACTATGAGAGTAAAGACCTGTGCTCATGCCAGTGCTGGGCAAATGTTTAAGAACATCATAGAGCTGGGCCATCGTGGCGCACGCCTTTAATCCCGGCACTCGGGAGGCAGAGCCAGGCAGATCTCTGTGAGTTCGAGGCCAGTGTGGTCTACAGAGCAAGATCCAGGACAGAAACCAAAACTACACAGAGAAACCCTGTCTCAAAAAAAAAAAAAAAAAAAAAAAAAAAAAAAAAAAAAAAAAAAAAAAGGAACATCGTAGAACCCCTTCATTGGTGATTTCAGTTGCCTGGAGCCGGTGGAGGAGAGCCTTAATTCCTATAAATGCAGTGCTGTGATACATTTCCAGAGAAAGACCGTAGTCACAAAGATTATTACAAGACATTATAATTGTGATTTTTGTATTGGTGTTAATTGTTTAGGAAAAGGTATGAGGTATTTAAGGCACAGCACCGTTACAGTTTCAAGCACCGACTGGGGCCTTGACAAATCCCCGTAGAAGGGAAGAAGCTCAAATGAAATTGTGTCCTTTCCCCTCTCTGTCTGGTCTGCCCACCCACCCACCCCCAACCCTCACCTGCCCAGTGTCCCCTTTCTTTCTTTTCTCTACCCCTCCCACATTATTCTCTCTGTGTCTTCCTTCCATCTCCCAGGGCTTCCCTTTCCTCCTTTCTTCCTCTTTCTGCCCCACCCCCTTCGCAGATCATAGTGAGACACAAGAGAAAATGGGCATCAAGCGGTGTGAGTGGGATTTATCTTCCCCAGAGGGCAGTGATTTAAGGAGAAAAAGGAGTTCTCGGCCAGGCCAAGACCAGACTTGGTCAGCCCCTGCAGCATCAGCCTCTGGTGGGGGGTGGGCACTGCCTGCACTCACTTGGTGATCTTGAAGAGCCTCAGGAGACGGATGCAGCGGAGCACGGAGATGCCCAGGGGCGCCATGGCTCCCGACTCCACCAACAGAATCTCCAGGATGCCGCTGCACACCACGAAGCAGTCGAAGCGGTTGAAGACGGACATGAAGTACTGGCGCAGGCCCAGTCCATACATCTTCATCAGCATCTCAATGGTGAAGAGGGCCAGCAGCACACGGTTGGCGATATCTGCAGAGGGTAGCAGGGCCCCAGCACGGCTTCTTCCCCTCCTCGGCCTCCTAGCCTCTGCCCCCAGATGAGCCTCTGCCAGCACGCATGCCCTCCCTACCTTTCCAACCCACTTAAGCCCTTTTGATTCCCAGGACCTAGGAAAGGGCCAGCAAGATGGCTCAGCAGGTAAAGGTGCTTGCTGCTAAGCCTGAGGACCTGGGTTTGATTCCCCAGAAGCCATATGGTGGAAGGAGAGCTCCCCTCCACAAAACCAATCAATCATCAATCAGAAATGTAAACCAATAATAACAACGACCTGGTGAAAAACCTGGTGAATTTTGCCCATCCAAAGAACCTAAATCTATATTTCCAGCAGGGTAATCCATACCCGCGTTAGCAGGAAGAAAGTTGCATAAGTTCGCATAGGTCCACCCTTCTTCATTAAACATCGTCTGTTTTCCTGGTAGAGAGTGGGTGGGCTTCACTAAAGGCAATCTGCTCTCGCGTGCTTTGCCGAGCCCCCATCACTTCCTCCTTACAAATCGTCTCCTTGTGTTCACTTATCCAGCTCTAGGGTCAATTCCACGACGCCAAATCCAGCAGATACAGACTTTCACGTACTTGCTTTCCTACAATTCTGTTCACCGTCTGCATGCTCTTTCAAATGCCCTCTCTCCACCACTCTGGCTTCTGTGACACCACATTCCTTGGGGTTTCCCTGAAAGGCACTCCTGCCTTCTCCTAATTCCCTCTGCCCTGCATTCTTTACCAAGTCCCTGGTGATGTTCTATGATCACAGATCCAACACTGCTCTTGCCAAAGATGCCCACCTCTAATTTTCCAAAGACCCAGCCTCTCTATTGCGACCCAGACTCAGTTTTCCATCAGCTTCTTTGACACTACCCATTAGAATGTCTCAAAGGCACCTCAAACTCAATATGCCCAGCACCACAAGGGTGGATGTTGCCTATCATCTCACACTTGCCAAAACTGCCACCTTAGAAGGTAAGACCACCACCGTCTGCTGTCTGCTCAGTCTAGGAACCCCAGATCCACCTCTTGATGGGTAGTGTTCCATCTTCACACGGGTTTACTAACACTGCCCGATAATGTGTAGCACAGTCAAGGGCACTGAGGAAGACAGGCTGCAATGAATGAATGAGCAGATGGGTGCATGCATGCATCTGAAGGGCAGGTTTGTCTTCTACTCTATAAAGCTCTAGTCTCTATGTCATTCACTTTAAACTTAGTCTCTTCTGTGGTGTTTCAGCATGCCACGTTCCTGCTCAGCTCACTCATGTGCATCAGGCTGGTGACTCCTCCTCAGAGCAACTCTGTTCTTAATTTGAGTTGTAGTTTTCCTCCCATGGGAGCTCATCACTAGAGATGTTCTTTGCACAGGGATTCATATGCCTTGGCTTGAGGACATTCCTAAAAGGGTGCTTGTGTCTGCCTCTGGTGGACTCCCCCAGGGTTCTCATTGTCTTTATGGGTCTGTCTTAGTTTACTCTCCCTGCACTGTGAAAGGTGCTGCTGCAATTTGGACCCCATCCCCACACAGGACACAGGTTGGAGTTTAATTTTTCACCTGTGACATGTTTCTTCCCTCCTAGGACCCCCAGGGGAGGGAACTTCCAGACTCCTTGCCTGTCTCAATGGGCAATAACGTTTTTAGATCCCCTTACATGGAAGCAGCCTTTCCAGGCCCTGGTCTAAGCAGGTGTTCTGGTTTTTGTTCCCCACCTCACACAGGCCCAGGGTCCTGTCTCTGGTCTCTGCATAGACATGAAGAGCCCAGTTACCACCCCTGAGGGTTTAGGCCTGCGTGTCAAATGTCTCTGCAGATGAGTTCATGAGGTCCCTGCCTCTGCCACCCAGAGACTTTCTTGTTATTTATTATAGCTTCAGTGTGCAAAGTCCCCCCCACAGGTTCATGCGTTTGAACTATTGGCCCTCATCTGGTGGCGCTGTTTTATGTCAAATCTTTAAGAGGTAGAGCTTCGCTGGAGGAAGGATGTGATTGGGGCAGGGCATGGAGTTTATGGCTCTACTTCCTGTCTATTCTTGCTTCCCTGACCTGTAGGCACAATGCCACCATCCACCCCATGCTCCTGCTCCCCCTCTCATAATGGACTGGACCCCTTCTTAAGGGGCAAGCCAGAATAAACTCTTCCTTGTTTATTAGGTAATTGTCATGGCAATGAGAAGAAGAACCAATATGTCATTCCTTGAGACGCTATTATAACTCAAGCCACACTGGTGTTAGTAGTGGGAAGGGTACCTAGCTATGGGAACTGGCTCTTCTTTTTCTTAACCGGTTCTTGGTCACCGTCCAGAGCTCTGCGCACAGTGGCGGCATCCCCTGAAAGGATGAGGCTGACTCACTCATCTTCTACCAAGGCTGGTCCTTCAGTGCCTCAAACCTGACCATATTATGTTTAGGCTTATAACTGTTTCATTGGCTTCCCTGTACCCAAAGGTTAAACTCCTAATGCACCATGACAGTCCACAAGGACCCCTAAGAACACATATGGCTCCTAATGTCCATCATGTATGAAGTTCTGTGGCTTCCTCAATTCACCGGACTATTCCATGTGTTTGCACTCACTGCATCTTCTGCAGGAATCCCTGCCAACCTTCGACCATCTGGGCTTTATCTCTGTGTCCTTTAGAGCTGTGGAGCATGAGCATCTCCTCTTGTATTTTTTCTCCTACCATCTTATATTTGCTTTCATTGTCTTCCCTGAATGGGCTGGAAACAGTTAACATCTGACTGGTCCTATGACTAAGTCATGAGCAATGAATGAACTGTTTACAGTTCTCTCTATATATATAGATACACACTATATGCATATATATACACATACATATATCTCACTCACTGCATAGTTAGTTACTATATTATAACAGTATTTATACAGCTTAGAGCTCTGTTATTGACTGTCTTGTGTGAAATGGTATATAATTGAATAATTTGTCTAGATACCTGAGGAAACATCTGCAAATTGTCCCTGTGTATCATTGGCACTGCCCTAAATCAGAAGGATGCCAGCGGGGAAAAGTGGGCATGCCACCTTGCCTTCTGATGTCTCTATTCTCCCACTGTGAAAGGAGGGAGTTGGGCCAATGGACCAACAGGAGTAGTACATCCTTTCTAGAAGACATTGTCAGTCTCACTGACTTCAGCACACCCTGCAGCACCCTCGGTGGCAGCTTTAAGCTTCTCATCCCGAGTGCTCCTTCGTGGCTCCATTCCGTCTGACTCACCTTGCAAATGGGTCAGCCACAGTGGCTGGTTATGGTGCTCTGAGGCAATAGACAGGGTGTTGAGGGCGACGATCAGGATCACCAGCCAATAGAAGACCTTGGATTTCACCAGGTCGTGGCACTTCCAGCGGAAGACACGATTCCACTGCCTCCAGTGCCGACTGCAGGAGATAGGAGAATCGGGATCCATTACTGTTTTTGTTTGTTTGTTTGTTTGTTTTTTCGAGGCAGGGTTTCTCTGTGTTGTTTTGGTGCCTTTCCTGAAACTCACTCTGTAGACCAGGCTGGCCTCGAACTCACAGAGCTCTGCCTGGCTCTGCCTCCCGAGTGCTGGGATTAAAGGCGTGCGCCACCACTGCCTGGCAGGATCCATTACTTTTAGCCTCACTCACTTTCCTCTCTGGGCATGCAAGAGAAATGAAGGGCATAGTCTGGGTCAATTTAAACCTGGCTTCCTATTAGCCAAGTTTTGCCTTTCAAATGAGAATGATAACAACTACGATCTCCCAGGCGACTGAATGAGACAACGCAAGCAAAAGGCTTAGCATGGCATCTGATACAGAGAGAAGCCAGGAGCACCACACATTTCAATTCCCACTAAAGAACATTGCGGTGGCCGGGTGGCGGTGGACACGCCTCTAATCCCAGCACTCGGGAGGCAGAGCCAGGCGGATCTCTGTGAGTTCGAGGCCAGCCTGGGCTACCAAGTGAGTTCTAGGAGAGGCGCAAAGCTACACAGAGAAACCCTGTCTCAAAAAAGAAAAAAAAAAAAAAAGAAGAACATTGTGGTGCCAATTCTACCCATTTTAAAAGGGAGTTTTACTAACTCAAAGAGGATTTCCGGATGGGTGTGTGGGAAAAGCGTTTGTTCTCTTTCTTAGTTAGCATACCCTTTTGGTGAGCGACCTCACAGCACTTACTAAAGTTTAGGTTTACCTAGCCTTGACCCAGTAATTCTACTTCTAGAATTCTGCCCAGAATGGCACATACTTTACCAGGAAGAATTGGTTAACTATAAAATGGTGCATCTATACCATGGGATATTTAATAGCCAAAGTTGCAATTGATAAAGATATGTGTGCACATGTGCGTGTGTGTAGGGGGGTGTGGTGCTGGAGAGATGGCTCAGCAGTTAAGAGATCTGGCTGCTCTTCTAGAGAATCCAGTTCAATTCCCAGCACCCACGTGGTGTCTCACAACCATCTGTAACTCCAGTTCCAGGGCATCTGATGTCTTCTTCTGGCCTCTGTGGACACTAGGTATGCACGTGATGCACAGACATGCATGCAGGCAAAACTTCCATATACATAAAATAAATAGCCAGGCGGTGGTGGTGCACGCCTTTTATCCCAGCACTCGGGAGGCAGAGGCAGGTGGATCTCTGTGAGTTCAAGGCCAGCCTGGTCTACAGAGCCAGACCCAAGAAAGGCACAAAGCTGCACAGAGAAACCCTGTCTCGAAAAATCAAAACAAACAAACAAACAAATAAATAAATAAAAATAAAAATAAATAAATACATTTAAAAGTGTATGTCGGGCTGGAGAGATGGCTCAGTGGTTAAGAGCACTGGCTGTTCTTCCAGAGGCCCTGAGTTCAATTCCCAGCAACCACATGGTGGTTCACAACCATCTGTAATGAGATCTGGTGCCCTCTTCTGGCCTGCAGCCATATATGCAGGCAGAAGACAGTATACATAATAAATAAATAAATCTTAAAAAAAAGTGTATGTCTTCATATATGAACATGTACACACAAGAGTGAAAACTGACCTTAGCAGAAAAGTTTAAGGAAAAAAAAGTCACAAAATAGTGTGTATTCATTTACTCAACAAGTAATCTTCAATATCTCCTATATACCAGTTTTAGTCTTTATGGTGACAGTAATAATTAACATGAATAACCTAGTATATAAAAAGCATAACAAGAAAAAAATATCCTGGTGTGCATGTGCGTGTGTGTGTGCATGTGCGTGTGTGTGTGTGTGTGTGTGTGTGTGTGTGTGTGTGTGTGTGAAAGATGAAAGCACAGAAAAGATCTTAGTAGAATACATATCTGTTACCATGGTGACTTCTTTGAAGGGCAGCAGGGACCTCCATTTTTTTCTTTGCTGTTTTTCTCTCTTATTGGGTCTTTCAAAAGTTATAATTATGTATGAATTTGAAAAAGGACACAGCCTTCCTCTTGCCACTGACTTCTTAGCTGGGGCCACCTCCTTCCTGCATGCCACCCCACACCTTCCCTCTTTCCTCTTATAAGCTCCCAACACCCAGCGCCGTCCTCTCAGAGGGTATAGCCAAATGCTCTTGCTGTCTGCAAGGGCTCCTGTTTTACCTTGAGCGGTGTATAAATAGGTCATCTGCCCAGGGTCCTCTCTGATTGCACATTCCCTGGGCATCCAGCCACTGCTGAGTCCTCAGAGCAAGAACTGGCCCTGATTTCTAGATAGGCCTCTCTAAGGGCTCAAGAAAGTGCCATGAGGAGAGGTAGCTGGATTCTGGCCCTGTGTCCCAGGTCAGGTACTCACATGAACTGAATGATTTTGTTCAAGCCCTCGATTTCATACAAGCTCTCTGTGTCTGAGCCTCCTTCATCCAAAGACAGCTTGCCTGGAGACAGGGCAGATATAGTTAGCAACCTTTGGGGTCCCTTGGGAACAGACACGCTTGGTTAGGCATTGTTGGATGGGATGCCTATGATGGTGGGCTCTTGGTGGGCCCCTGTTGGGACTTCCTATAAACTGGAGAGGCCGGGCTGCAGGGCTTGTGGCCACCACAGGCAGGCCACAGGATGATTTGAGGAGAGCTCAGGATGCACCTGGACTCTACCGTCTTGAGGTGCAAGGCTTTACACGAGACATTGATGACCCCCTGAAAGCAAGCACTCTACCTTCTCGGGGGGGTCTCTGGGTGTGCTGGCTAATGTTATGTCAACTTGACACAGGGTAGGGTCATCTGAGAGGAGGGAACCCCAGCTGAGAAAATGACTCTGTAAGACTGGGCAGGAGGCAAGCCTGTAGAGCATTTTCTTAATTAGTGACTGATGTGGGAGGACCCAGGCCATTGTAGGTGAGGTCATACCTGGGCTGGCCCAGGTGGCTCTATAAGAAAGCGGGCTGAGCCTTTGCATCATGGAACTGTGAGTGAAATATCTCCTCCCCAAGGTGCTTTTGGTCATGGTGTTTCATCACAGCAATAGTAACCCTAAGACATTGGGCTTTGGGGGGGCTATGTAGAGTTGCACCCTCCAGGGAGTAACTAGGGGTGGGTAGGTGCTGATCAGCATCAGGCAGGGGGATTTGGCCATGGCTCTGGGCCCCAACCTTCTCTCAGGTCCTCCACGTCCATGACCTCGCCCTGAGTGATCCAGCTCATGTAGCCTCGAAGGTCCTCCTCTAGCTGCTGCTTCTCCCGGAGCTTCTGGAAGGTTCCCCTGGACTTGGCCTTCTCCCGCTCCTTCGTGAACTCCCTAAAACAAAACCAAGGAGGTAGGAGGCGGGAGAGGAAAGGAAGGGGGCGGGGAGAGAGGAAAGGGGGCGGGGAGAGAGGAAAGGGGGCGGGGAGAGAGGAAAGGGGGCGGGGCCCACTGAGCTTCCTTAACACAGGACACATCTGAGATAGACGTGTCCTCTTCTGGTCTGGGGCACTGCCTGTGGGCCAGGGACCCTCAGAGTTCCCCCTGTCTCTCCTTCGCCCAGCCCCACCTCCAGACACATTTCCACGCACTATTACAGGTCTCTGATTTCTTCCCAGACGAGCTCATTTTCTGCTTCGGTTTATTCTTGGATGTCAGGGGTTGATGGGACATTCCATTATTCCAACAGAGCCAGCCAGAAAGCCTCAAATTTGCCATACTTCTTGGCCTTTTAAGCTACCCTAAAACGGTTTCTGCTTATAGACTTAAGGCCTGAGAAAATCCTCTTGGACGCAAGGGGAACCTGGCAGTCACCAGGAAGCAAAGAACCCGAGGGGGGGGGTGCAAGGCACTGAATGACCAGTAGAGGGCAGCACTAGGCCACCAAGCGGAACTCAGTGGGGGGGGGCAGGAGGGGTCTGCCTTTAGAACAGTCACCTCACCAGCTGGGTGATCTTGACCATTGTATGCACGAAGTTTTTGGTAGCCCACCCAATGGAGCCCACCCTCAGATCACTCCTCAGAACAATGTCACGAAGTGCACAAAATAAGAACGTAGAGTTAGGAAGGAACTGATCAAAGTGAAACACAACCACAGAAATGTAACAAATGCCGACAGAGGAATGCAGGCGCTTCTTCATTAGCTACAAGGATCCTGTTGCAAGTCTAATGCCAGTTCACCAGCAATGGTGAATGAAAACAGGAGTACAACAATGGACACGTGACATGATTTCCATTAGGAGAATCCACAGGCCCTGCTAATGCCACTGCGGTTAGTTGCCTGCATCCATTATTAAAGGAAACACACATTTCAGTTAATGCAATAGAAAGTAGAGATGGGTTTTCTCTAACCGACTTCACAGACTCCTCAGTTCTGTTTACAGGCTGTTGGCGTGGGATGGGGGGTGGGGGGCGGCGGCAGACTTCTAGAGTGAGGTGATGTCAACCCAGAAGGGAGCTGAGGCTACAGCTAGCCCCACCACTGTGGCTGGGGTGGGCCACAGCAGAGACACTGCCGAGAACAGCACTCATTAGTGATGGGGATGGGGATGTGCTGGACTGTTCTAAGTACTTTTAACTCATTTCATGATAACCCTAGGAAACAGGTCCTGGAATGATTCTTTGACAGATGTGAACACTGAGGCATTGAGAGGTTAGGGAATTAGGCAGGGTCCCAGAGCCTCTAGGTAGTAAGTAGTACAAGGATGAGGCAGGTAATCTTGACCAGAAAGTATGTTCTGACCCACACCCAGGGCTGGAGTCTGGGGCTTACAGGCTCACACAGGAGTGTGGATGCTGGGGACAGGAGGACGCAAAAATGGGAGAAACTGCAAACTTCTAGCTAAGCAGGAAGAAGTGCGCCCGGCCTGGTGAGCTCAGACATGAGCTGAGGGTCTGGGTCCGTTCCTTTCTCCCTTCCAACAGCTGCTACTACTTTCTTACCCGCTCAGGACGCCCAGCACGAGGTTGAGGATAAAGAAGGAGCCCAACAGAATGAGGGTGACAAAATAGATCCAGGGCCACTCATTTCCGATGGCATCGTTGACCTGGTCCAGAAAAAAGTGTAAGTTCAGTACTCTGATTGAAGGATAATTCCTGCCTCCAGTTCTGTCCATCCAGACTCCATAAGGGAAGTAGCCATTTGGGCCCAGTGAGAAGACTTTTTCCAGCCTGGGGACCCAAGATCCAGGCTGAAAGGTCTTCCCAAGGGACCCTTGCTTACTGTGCACCTGGCCCAGGCTAGGTAGATGCTTTGCCCATCTAGTCAAGGGCACCTCTAACCTGCCTCTCAGACCCCATGTACAGTCCATTTCTTTACAGCCAGAACTTTTCAAAGTGACAGTCCTCTGTGACCTTAAGCCAAATGTCCTGACATCTCCGAGCATTTTCTCATCTATCTAGTAAGGTTATGCTACGTGCTCTCCTCCTAGACATGTAGCAGAGGTGAAATAGCATGTGTGACATTCCTTTGACATGTTTAATTATCTGCTTCCCTAACATGAGCCTGCGAGAAATGTTCACACTAATCCTTTATATTTGCAAAGCATTTGACAGTTTTGCAATTCCAACTCCACAGGCAGCACCACATTGTGCTTGAGAGTTCTGGACTGGAGCCAGATGGGTGAGAGCTTAGTGCTTGGCTCAGTTGCCCATTAGATTCATGAATACAGTTGCATAACCTCTTGGAGCCTCAGTTTCCTTACCTGTAAAATGGGGGTGATACTGTCTGTTGTTTTAGCATTAAACAAGAAATGCAACAGACTAAAAAAATACCTAACAAAGAGGTTGCTCTAATGAGAAAGCTTTCTGTCGTGATGAGACTACACCAGGCAATGTTAACAATTCTGTTGGTTTCTCCCCAGCTCTCTGGTGTGAGCGGCACATGATTTTTATAGATGAGGAGGAGACTGATACGTAGTGATATTTATGTAAGAAAGCCATCTCACCCAATGGCAAAGAGAAAGACCTAAAGGACCCCTCATCCCTCAAGTGTCCAAGATACAGGACACTGACATTCTAGGGAAAATTCAGGCATTGAGACTAGAACTCATGGAGGTCCTAGTATCCACCCCTCTCCCCGTTCCTGGGTCTTGCAGACTACATCATGAGACCTGTCCCAGAGAATACCAGACAATCTGTCGGCATGAGGAAGAGGTCATACACCTGCATGGATACCCAGGGAGGGCAATGCAGAACCAATGGCACCGAGCAGTGGCTGGCCTCTGGGGTGGGCTTATAAGTCCTTCCTTCCTGCTCCCCTAGTGCGGTGGGTAGCTGTTTGAGCCATGCCCTGAAGCACTGCCCCAGTGAGGCAGCTGTAGCCGTTACACCTGCCTATGACCTTGAGGTACCAGCCTCTGGGGCGTGGGCCACCAGGGACCCTTAAGACCTGGGATGCACATATGCTGGCCCCTCTTGGCTACCTCATGGTTCTGGATGCTGAGATCTTGGACTAAGCCATTCAGCGTGAGACATAGTTCAGCTTTCTTGGACCCTACGATAAATCCCCCGTGGTTGTGAGTTTACCCCCAAATAAATTCCTTTGATCATTAAATAGACTCTGTGGATTAATCCTAATACCCTAGTAAGCCCTTAGAAGGAAGGGGAGGCTCAGACCTACCCAGTATAGGACATCGGTCCACCCCTCCATGGAGATGCATTGGTACACGGTGAGCATGGAGAAGCCGAAGTTGTCGAAGTGGGTGATACCATGGTTGGGTCCCGGCCAGCCTCCTCGGCACTCACTGCCATTGATGGTGCAGGGCCGCCCAGAGCCGGTTCTAGCACAGGGCGATGGCTTCTCGTTCTCCACCGTGGCCACGATGTCTGGAGGCAGAAGGCAGTGCATTAGGCATGTGGGCTGGAGGCAAGCCGCTCAAGGACCACGGGAAAGACCAGAGTAAGAGGTGAAGAGGGGCAGGACCAGGACTGGCGCTCGGCACCCACAGGTGGCAGCAGTCACGTCTTAGAAGAACTAACTTTGGAAGGACTGCTCCTGAGAGGAACCGTCCCTTGAAGCTCAACTCAGTCGAGGAGTGACCAGAGGGGTCTTCGTACCCTCTGAGATTTAAAGAGGGGGCCACTGTCCAGTTGAGATTCAGTCTGGGGAGTCAAAGTGGAGCTGTGCAAGTCAGCGCACACAGGGCCAGGGCCACCTTCTAGGGAAGATGTCATCAGGCTTCAGATCACACCCCTCTGCATCCCCCAAGGGGCCTTTAATTTCCTCTAAAACTTGGTGCTCTCTCTCTCTCTCTGTGTGTGTGTGTGTGTGTGTGTGTGTGTGTGTGTGTGTGTGTGTGCGCATGCACTACTACACATGCGTGTGAAGGCCAAAGGTCAACATCAGGTTTCTTTCTTTTCTTTTCTTTTCTTTTTTTTTTTTTTTTTTGGTTTTTCGAGACGGGGTTTCTCTGTGTAGCTTTGAGTCTGTCCTGGAACTCACTTTGGAGACCAGGCTGGCCTCGAACTCAGAGAGATCTGCCTGGCTCTGCCTCCCGAGTGCTGGGATTAAAGGCATGCGCCATCACTGCTCGGCCAAAAACCACCCTGCATGTTTTTTGTTTTTTGTTTGTTTGATTTTGTCTTTCAAATACTAATTTTATTTGCATTGGTGTGCATGTGTGTCCATATGAGAGCATTAGGTTCCTAGGAACTGGAGTTACAGACAGTTGTGAGCTGTCATGTGGGTGCTGGGGATTGAGCCTGGGTCCTCTAGCTGAACAGTCAATGCTCCTAACCACTGAGCCATCTCTCCAGGCAGAAATAAAGCTTTTGTTTGTTTGCTTGGTTTTGTTTTTTGTTTTTCTGTTTTTTGTTTTTTTGAGACAGGGTTTCTCTGTGTATCTTTGCACCTTTCCTGGAACTCGATCTGTAGACCAGGCTGGCCTCGAACTCTCGGAGATCCACCTGCCTCTGACTCCTGAGTGCTGGGATTAAAGGCATGCACCACCACTGCCCGGCTAACATCAGGTTTCTTCTTCAATGACTATGCACTTTATTTCTTTTTTTTTTTTTTTTTTTTTTTTTTTTTTGGTTTTTCGAGACGGGGTTTCTCTGTGTAGCTTTGCGCCTTTTCCTGGAACTCACTTGGTAGCCCAGGCTGGCCTCGAACTCACAGAGATCCGCCTGGCTCTGCCTCCCGAGTGCTGGGATTAAAGGCGTGCGCCACCACTGCCCGGCTGCACTTTATTTCTTGAGACAGGGTCCCTGGCTGAACGCGGAGCTCACTGTTTGGCCTGTGCTGGCTGACCCGCAAGCCTCTAGGCTCTGCCTGTCTCTACCCTCAGTACTACAGCACCTGGCTTTGTACATGGGTTCTGGGGACACAAGCTCTGGTTCCTCATGCCTGCAGAGTAAAGCATTTTGCCCATTGGACTATGTCCCCAGTCACTGAGATCTAGTCATTTTGATAATACCCTAGGACGCTTTTATCATAGGATGTTTGACGGCATCCTGCTGACTTCTGCGATTAGGTTATCCTTGGACACAGTGCCCTCGCCTTAACACACTTACAATGTCAGCTTGGAACTCTGAAGGTGGGCGGGGAGGACAAGGATGATCAGCTTGGGGTCCCTGGCTCTATGAAGCGGACGGCTCTGATCTGAGAGTGACATTTGAATACTGCTGCTCAGCATTCCTTAATGGCTTGGCACCTGCAAATTTGCCCCAAAGCTCATGCTAGACAGTCCCTGCTATCCACAGTGCTGATGACAGGGTGTGGAAAGTCCTGCTGATGGAAGGCACCAGCACGGGTTACAGAGTGTGGACCATTCTGATGATGGAGAAGCTGCCGTGGGAGACCACTGGGGAGTTGCCAGCTGAAGCCTCATCAGAGTTCACCCTTAGAAGCTAGGTTTGACCCTGCATTGATGGACCCTTGCTGTCCATGGGTCTGGGGAAGCAAACAGCCTCTCCCAAGAGGGAGTGAGTGCAGGGGCTGGCTGCTCTGGTGAGTCGAATGTCTGGGATCTGGCAGGGGGCCATTTTCTTTCTATGTTATCCTCTCTATCCTGGAGACCCTGGTATAGTGCGTGCTCAGAGGAGTCTGAGCTAAAGATGAGGCTGAGTTCCCGGGGACTGCTCAGGGCGAGAGCCAGAGAGCCTTCTGAGGCATCTGCCATCAACATGTTCCTTGCACTTGGCCTCCCGGGCTCTCAATAGAGAGCGGAGTCGTCCAGCAGTCACATGACCCTAATGTGACAACATTGCATGCATAGCAGATATGAGTTCCAGCCCACCTTCTTAAAGCCGGGCATTGAGGAGCCTGACAAAAAGTGCAAAACCCATCACTCTTCTTGCTAGACTTTGTTTGGGAGAATACAGCCATTCTTAGAAAACTAGGTTCCTGATCTCATGCCATCAGCTTATTGCTGCTCATAAAAATGAATTGATGTCATTATATCTATTCCAATTCCGTATCAGTGGCTCAGACCCACATAAATCACACTTTTTGGGGGTCTTAACTACCTTTTGAGGATGTGGAGGGATCCCAAGCCAGAAAGTGAGACCTGCTGCTTTAGGAAGGGAAGACTTCTTAGATTCTGGGACCTCGCGTCAACATGGGCCTCAGTGTAGGTTGTTTCTGACAAGCCACAAAGTGCCCCCTTTGAATCTCATTCAGTCTGTATCCCGCAGGCCTAATTCGAGAGACAGCTCACACCAAAGTACACTATGGCCACAAGAGAAGTATGAAGAGAAATCCAGGCTCCTCCCAGGCCTATGCTCCAACCCACAGGAAGTCTGGAAGATACTCAAGCTGTGACCAAGGCCGGCCTGCGATCCCTGATTCTGGCGGAGCTGTCCTCATTCCCACTCTCATGCATCCAGGCAGGAGGAAAGCGTGGACAGTGGGAAGGAGAGCTGGCTTTACCCAGAGCTTCTTTACTAGCTGTGATGGCCTCATTTGGAGCCGACCTGACCCCTCCACAGTCCTACATAGCTCACCTGTCCCAATGAAGTAGCAGGTTTTGTGCATCTTGCCCTTGAAGAGCTCCAGCCCAATGATGGCGTAGATGATGACCATGAAGAGGACGAGCAGGGCAATGTGGAAGAGGGGGAGCATGGCCTTGAAGATGGAGTTGAGGACCACCTGAAGGCCTGTCACAAACAGCAAGGAGGAGAAAAGTAAAGAGTCACTCCCCCTCACAGTCTCATGCCCTTCCCTCTATACACAGTGGGATACCCAGGTCAGAAGGGGCCAAGGAGGGCTTGAGAGAAAAGATGCTGTCACCCACTGGGCACCCCTGACACCAGCCGAAGCGGTCTGAGCACACGGAAAGCTCGAAGGGCCTTCACATCCAAGCCGGCTCCTTTGCTGCTCAGGGGGGCCGTGTTGGTCTGGATAATGTTAACTTGTTCCAGAATCACAGTGAAGACACTGGAGGGGAGAAGACGGAGAGAAGGCGGTCAGCAATCAGAGAAACCAGACTCCCAGTGCTCCGGGACCCTGGATCCTATCGTGTGAAGGACCTGGGGGTGGCAGTGGGGTAGGGGGCAAATGCAGTTCTCAACTGTCAGTGCTGAAGAATTTTATTTTCAAGGAATCTGAGGCTAAGTTCGCCTTTGAGCTATTGGTGATGAACAGGGATGGATAACAGAAAGGGAGGCTTCAGGTTGAGATACAAGTATGCCCCGGGCACAGTCCCTCAGCGTGAGACTGAGAACATCACAGTGAGCTGCAGATTAGCCTCTCACTCACTGATGACCCAGAGAAAAACACCCAGCAGGGAGTTCTCTCCTGATATCCCTGCAACAGGCCTTCCAGCCAGGGCTGGATGTAGGCCTTCCTGGTCCCCTCCTCCACCTTCAGAACTCTGCAGTCCATTCAACGCTCCTCGCTCCTCGTAGGAACATCACCTGACAGTGAGCCCTGAGTTCATCGGGAAACAGTGGCGCTCTGGGGAACGAGGATGCTGCTTTCTGATGCCCTAGGCATCTGATATGGCTTCCAACCAGAGCACCTCACAGGGGCCGAGCTGAGTCTGAGGATCCAGAGCACCTCACAGGGGCCGAGCTGAGTCTGAGGATGCTTCAGTTTTCTTTGTGGTAAGAGGAGAATCAAATGGCCAGCGGATAACCAACATAACAGTGTTGGACTGCCGGCTAGTACAGTGGCTAACTGCTCAGCCTTTGGAGCCAAAGATGTTTCTCGGTTTGACCTTAGGCAAGTTGCTCGGTTCTCTGTATCTTAGTGTCTTCATTCATGAAATGGAGGTTGTGGAAAAGTTACTGAAGGATGCTATATGCAATACACATGTTAAGTCCTCAATAAACGTGGCTGTTATAATTAGGCAATGATTATTAGAAGTGATGTCACAGGCTAACAAAAACTCATTTGCTGAAATTCTGGCACACAGTAACTCAGAATGTAACTCTGGATAGGGCTACTAAAATGAGGAATGGCAAGTCCTCAATAAACGTGGCTGTTATAATTAGGCAATGATTATTAGAAGTGATATCACAGGCTAAGGAAAACTCATTTGCTGAAATTCTGGCACACGGTAACTCAGAATGTAACTCTGGATAGGGCTACTAAAATGAGGTCACCCAGGTGGGCTGTAATCCAATTTGATGGGTATACTTATAAGGGGGAAATCTGGATGTACAAAAAGACATCCAGGGTGCATGATCATAGACAGACCACATAAAGACACAGTGAGAAGGTGGCCACTTACAGCCACGGAGAGGCCTGGGGATACCAGCCTGCCCACACTGGACTTTGGACTTCTGTCTCCAGAACCATCTGTAACAAATCTCCATTGTGTGAGCTGCAGAATCTGATGGCCACCCCAGTACACTAACGCAGGCTACTAGATGTCCATATTCGTGTACTCGAATAACACCACAGCATAGGTCTGTAGAACCAATGTACAAATGGCCAGTGTGGCCACTGGAGCCACTCCAATGTCCTCTTGCCTGTGGTGGGGGAAGATGAGGGAACCCAGAGCTGGTGACGTGGTCTGTGACCTGCGGGCAGGTGTTGGGGGGCACTGGTTCACTTCCCACCAACATTGACCCTGTCACCCCTGGGGTGGTCAGCCCAATGCTGAGACCCCATCTTTGCCTCTGAGCTTCTGGTAGTGTCTGTGGGCAAGAGTCTTCAGGGAAGCTCTGACTCCAGCCCCCAGCCCCCAGCCAGCTCTTACCCCAGAAAGACAATGATGAAGTCTAGCACGTTCCAGCCACTGCGCAGGTAAGCGTCCTGATGGAATAGGAAGCCATAGGCTATAATCTTCATGGCGGCCTCAATGGAGAAGACGATGAGGAAGAAGTATTCCAGTTTCTCCTGGAGGGGAGGAGGTGGTGGCAAACACCGGTCGGTCGGTCACACCTTGCGGCTGCACACTCCCAGCCTCCTCGCTCCAGCCGCTTCTGTCCTCCAGCCACCAGCCTCTGCCGCTCCTAGATGCTCCCTCCCACCCCGACAGCGCCCTGCCCTCTTCAGCTTCACTTACGGTCTTCCCTGGCCACCAAGTACAGTTTAAGCCCCTTCTAACCTTTCAGCTCTTCACCCAAGCTTCATGTTATCTTCCTAACACCTGCCTAAAGTGCCATATACATGCTTTCATTGAGGTCATTAGCTCTTTCCTCACCAAAATATAAACGCCACAACGTGGTAGGATTTCTGCCCATTTCCCACCTTACTTCCAGGACCTAGAGTCAGATGAATAAATCAATGATCCAATGCTAGCTTTTTTTTTTTTTTTTTTTTTTTTCAACTTGACACAAGTTGGAATCATTTGGGGAAAAGGACACTCAGTAGAGAAAATGCCTCGTAACATTCATTGGCCTATAGGCAAGTCTGTCAGGCCTTTTCTTGATGAATGATTGGTGAGGAAACACCCAGCCCCACTGTGGGTGGTGCCAACTGTGAGCAGGTGGGCTTGAGTTGGATAAGAGCAAGCCATGGGGAGAGAGCCAGGAAGCAGTGTTCCCCCATGACTTCTGCTTGGGTTCCTTCCTCCAGGTTCCCACCCTAAGTGCCTTCACTTGACTTCCCTTGGTGATGGAGTGCGCTCTGAGAGCTGTAAGACGAAAGAAACACCTTCTTCTCCAGTGACTTTTGGTGGGGGTGTCCTGTCACAGCAATAGGAACCCTGACTAAGACAGATCCCCAAGTGGCTCCCAGCCTGGGCATTTCCCCTCTCCCAACCACTCAATGGACCACAGGTAGGAAGTAGGGTGGACTTAGCACCCTGAATGACTCTCTCTTGCTGCTCATGGTCCTTAGCTCTTGTTTATTTCCCTGGCCTCCCCCTTTGCACATCCACCACAGCTGTCTACAGGCAGCTCCCACAGGCAGGGGGATGAGGAAATGGAGTACCCCGGGTAAGAGGATCCAGTGTTGCTGAGGGCCCGAGGTTTCGGCTCAGCCGCACTCCAAAGACGGCCTTGCTGACTCCTCCATACCCTGTCCTGCTGCCTGATCCTCTGGGTCACCCTGAGCCTATCCAGGTCACTCTTTCCCTGCTCGGGGCCCAGGCAAGAGCTATTTCTAACTGAGAAAACAGTTCCCTCCTGGCTGGGCTCCAGGCTGAAACTGCTCTTCTTGCAGCTATCTGAAGCCTGGCTTGGTGGTTTCCGGTAGTTCTGGTCCTCCAGGCTCCCCACACAATCCTAGCCTCCTGACAGGGTCTCAAGGCTGTACACCCCAGCAGTTGGCTTCACTGGAGCATACAAAGTTGTGTTAGCAGGAGAGAGTCTGTGTCCACAGCCCAGTAATAGTTCCCCTACTGCCATCACCAAGTACTACCCATCCCTAGCAAAGCATCTCAGGGCTAGGGTCTCTCCAAGGACCCTTCAGGGCTCTCTTTTATTATGACTCATTTTTCTTTATTCTGGACACAGCCAGATAGGAAACCTGGCCACCCCAGGAATGACTTGTAAGATGTGGAAGGGGAAACAGAGTCATATATGAGTGAAATTTATTCTTTGTTCTGTTTTGGTTTTGTTTTTTGATTTTTCAAGACAGGGTTTTTCTGTGTAACCCTGGCTGTCCTGTAACTTGCTCTGTAGACCAGGCTGGCCTTGAACTCAGAGATCTGCCTGCCTCTCCCTCCCAAGGGCTGGGATTAAAAGCATGTGCCACCACCTCCTTAGACCTATTCTTTCTAACCTTGCCCCCAGCTCCTTCTCAGTTTGTAATCTCAAAGCTTTCTCCTTGCAAAAATATAGTGTACAATTGAAAGGCACCTCCATACTACTCCATTAACAGGGTTGTTACTAGGGCCTAGGTTGAGCATCATGGGGCGGGGTGTGTGGGGGACAAATCTTGCCTCCACATAAGAGCGCTGCTAGGGGCAATCTGAATACCATCCCTGCTGAGAGGAATGAGGTGAAACCACTGTGGAGAGTCTCCTGGAAATCAACGGGGTGGTCGTCCCTCTATGTGGTAAGTGTCCAGTAGTCAGGCCCATCTCTCAAGGAAAGGCCCATGTAAGGACAGGGATGTTAAGTCAGCATGTAAATTTTCAGGTTGATTCAACCCCCACAGGACAGACAGGGCAAGTTTTGTTGAGGGAAGGAAAACAGGACCCAAAATAGTTGCCGCGCTCCCAGACCGGGCGGCTGGCCACGTACACCGGAGAGCTGCCTGCACCTGCTGCTGTCTGTCTGTCTGTCTGTCTCTGGCCACAGAGCAAGCTGGTAGGGGCTGTGGGCCTCAGGTGGGGGGTCACTTGGGGGTCCTAGCCCATGAGCTCCAAGATCCAGCTCTCTCGGTTTACCGCTCTGCAGCCTAATGCTGGGGTGGACACAGCATGCCCCTTGCTGTGTAGACATGGACCAGGCATGTGTCCATTCTTACACCATAGGAACAGTGTTATCAGTGTTACACTGTGCTGGCCCCATGCCTCTCTAGCCCATGTGTTGTCCACAGAGGAACAAGGGCTATGCATTCTCCAGGATTTATTAAGCTTGAGACTAAACCCCCAGGCATGGCTGACCTAGCTGTCATCCTGTAATCAAAGCTATAGCCTTCCTAAAGCATTTCCATCATTGTCTGTGGGGAGTCTGTTGTCAAAGGTGGGAGGCGGGAGACATGGGGTGCACATTCTCCCTGGCTGTTTCTTTACTCAGGTCTGTCTAAGAACCTCAGTTTCCTTGTGGTGGTTGAAGTTAATTCAGTGGTTAAGAGCACTGGCTGCTCTTCCAGAGGACCCCAGTTCAATACCCAGCATCCACATGGTGGCTTATAACCATCTCTAACTCCAGTTCCAGGGGACTAATGCCTCCATGGCCACTGCACACACATAGTGCACATATTTACATGCAGGCTAAACACCCATACATGCAAAATAAAATAAATGCATTTTCTTCTAAAACCAAGCCAACTGACCCCCATCTCCAAAGAGCTGTCCCGAGGACTAAAGGGCATCCTGCAAGAGGTGGTGACCCACTGCTCAGTGGGTCACAGGCTCTTCTGCACACCTGGCTCTTTGTGGAGGGGCTCTGATACTTGTACCATGGCCCCCACGTGCTCTCTTGGTCTTCACAGAGCTGCTGGGTGGGGGTACATCAGAGCGTGGTACAGCAAGGCACGTCTCTATCCAACCAGGAACTCAGCACACTGGAGCCTGAGCCTGTTTTCCCCTGAATCTGCTCTTCCTCACAAGGCCCTGCATTGGCCAATAGTGTCAACTCACTCAAGACAGGGGTCTTTCTAGGCTTGGATCCCACCAGATCCAGACTTTTCTGTCTCTAATGCCTGGTTCATCCATCTCGTCTCCATTGGAGGTGTCCCTGGCCTGGCCTGGCTCGCACTCTCTAATCCGCAGTCACTTGTTACCTGTGATGCTCCCTTTCTCTCCTGGTCCCTCTCTACTCTGGGTACTTCATCTCTCCTGGTCTCCCACGGCCACGTGGTTTGTCAGGTCAGCCCACAGCGTAGATGGTCTCTTGTGAAATGGCCCCTGCTGACCTTGACTGCTGGCCTTACCAGTGTCCTGCAGGGCACTGGCCTGTCCGGGGGGGATGGATTTCAGATTTTCCAGGCGACCTAGCCTCTGAGCCTTGGCTCATCCAGGCTCATATGACTTCTTTGGTTGTCCCCCAGGAGAATCTGCCTGGGGTGTCTTCTGTATTGCCCGGGGACCCTGTTTGCTCTCCACTGCCTCTGCTGGACTGCAGCCTCCTGGGGCCAACCTCATCTTCCTGTGTGTGCCGACTGTGGGAGTCCCAGTGGGTTTGGGCCCCAAGAACAAGTGAGAGGGGACATCCCCATTAGGAACAGGATTTGGGTAAAGTGCTAGGGTCCCTCATAAGAGGGCATCTCAGGATGAGTACCAGGAACAGAGAACAGCAGGGTTTGAAGATTGCACACTCCTATCCCCTCCTGGGGCTAGCTTTCCTCTTATACCCAGCTGAAAGAGTTTTTGGCTCAGCTTTGGACCCTTGCTGTTTCTTCTGCCTGGAATGCTCTTCCCTGGGGTCCACTGCCTTCTTTCTCTCCGGCCCCAGCTTATGACGGATCCCTTCTGGGTTACCCTCCCTACTTCCCAGCTCCTTACTAATGACACATCACTTTGCTTGTTTGTCTGTTTGTTTTAGCAGACTTCAAGACAGAACTCTCCAGCTCCCTGTTTATACTCTTAACTGTCTCCTGACACGAATATAGGGCGGTTCCCTCAGCTTCCTGCTGTGGCACCTGCATCTGGAAAGGTGACTGCCACATGGCTGCCACCACCGAGGCAAGATGAGACCGACGGTCATGGAGGAAGCTCTGTGAAAACCCCACAGCAACGCCTAGGCTCTAAGTGCGACCAGGTGACAAATGCCATCTGCCAGTCACATAGAGCAAGTCCCGTGAGGCACAAGTGAAGTGGCCCCACACAGTAGAGCAGACTGGAAGCTATAAGCAACAAACAGACCCTGATACCAGACTAGGGGAGACAGTCTTTGACCCTGCAGCAGACTCTTTGGCCTCCCGCCCTCCTGAACTCACGGGAAGACTAGGAAGCTGCCTGTGAGGTTCCAGCAGCTCCACCTACAGAGACCTTCACCACCAGGTGCCCAGTGCAGGAGGTCCTCCCACAGACAGACCTCTAATGGAGCTTCAAAGGCTGCATTTGGTGTGGAAGCCTGAGCACAGGCCTTGCATCTGTGCGTCGTTACCCTGGAGCCAGGTGTTCCCAAAGTCCTGGGCTGAGAAGAGCAGGGCCCACAGTGCCCATCGCTTGCATCACCCCATCCCCATCTCCCAGTGACTCCCACCCAGGCCTGCCTCGGGCTTTGAGAGAAGATGGTGGCAGCCAGCCAGACTCCTCTGCAAAGGGACTCGCCCACTGC